AAGTACCAAAACAAATTTTCGAAAAAAAAAACATCGCATGATAAATGCAGTTTTACCCTGTTTCAAATAGTACCCTGTAGACCGTTTGTTCCGAGCCCTTGTATTTTCTGATGTAGCGGAAGAAAACTCTATCGAAAATCATCTTGGATGATATTCAAAATTTTACAATCGGTTCAAAAATAACTGATCTAGAGGGAGGGGGGGTCATTTATGGTGAATCACCCTGTACCTGCTTATTTGATGCATAGGCATACCAGTCCTACCTTCTGTTTCTACCTTTTAAGTGTGAAAGGAAATGTTAAATGTAACTGAGGAATTCGTTTATTTATTTTCGTCTTGGATATAAGTCCATAGTTTACAAATATCTGAGATTCTTCAGACTGAATTAGATTCAAAGTGGTCTATGTTTATTTTTGGTGGCAGCCCTTTCTCATTTCCCACTTCACTGGTAAAATAGCTTATAATCCTGGAATTTTTATTGCATTCTTTCTCCAAAATATGAGAGTTATACCTCCAAGAAATTCTTCTGAAACTGCATTGAAATATAAATCAGTTTTCACTTTTTGAGAAGTTTAAATTCACCAGCAAAGCACCTGCTACAATAACATTTGATATATTATTTGTATAATTCGATACGCATACGATGATCACCATAAAAGTCATCCCCTAATTAAACATATTATCAAAAGAGAATTTCGTATTGCGTCAGTGCCAGTGATCAATTATTTATAATTTCATTAGCACGACAAAAATAAATGCTAAACACACCAAAAAGGACGTCATCATTCAATTATGGAAACCACACATGCTTAATTACATATGGATATGATACATTATTATGGAAACATTCAATTATCTGTCCTTTTTCGGTAGCAATGATGAGTTTTTTCCAGCATTTCATCTACTTTATCACGCATACAATGTGTGCGATTTGGAAATGGAACAAATATAACGAAACCACTTTTGTCCTTGGCCTGAGAAGAAAGAGTTTTCTTTACATTATATATGATATAATTATGAAGAATAAAATGGGGAATATTTTTTTTTCGTAGCCATGTAAAATATGACCTGGAGAATATTTATCATTGTAGAATATGGCCTAAAGAATGTTTCATCTTGTAGAAGATTACCTAGAGAATAGTTGATGCTGTAGGAATCGAAATGTGGAATATTTCCCGTTGTAGAATATTGAAATGTTCTGGAATATTGTTGAGGACTCGGTAAAATATGAACTGTAACGAATTGAAAATTGTAGAATACCTATGCCTTGAAGATCATTTCGTACTCTGTAGGATATTCGAGAACATGACATTGTAAAACATTTACTTTTTAAAACTTGACCTCAGGAATATTTTCCGTTGTAGAAGAAACTTTTCAATACTTTGAAATTGACCTGGAGAATATTCATATCGTAGAAGATGACTAAAAATAGCAGAAGAACATTAATAAACACCGTGGAATATAACCTCTCTAATATGAAGAATATTTTATATCGTAGAGTATGACCTGAAGAACATCTATCATTGTAGAAGTCAACCTGGTGAATATTTTATGCTGTAGACAAACATGAAAGTCTCGCTGCAAGTTGACCTCGGGAATATTTAAAATTGTTGAAGTTCACCTTTTTCATATTACCACAAAGCATTTGACCTTGGAAATATTTTTAGATTGTGGATGAAGACGTGCCAAATATTTCATATTCTAGAAGTCGACCTGAGGAATATTCTATGTTCTAGAATATAGCCTACTGAATATTTCCATGTTGTAGAAAATAACCAATCACTCGTCAAACTTTCATGACAATGACAATTTTTTTCCGCAGAAATTGGATTGGAGTATGTATGACCCGAAGAATATTTATAATTGTAGAAGTCAACCTAGAGAATATTTCATGTTGTAGATGAACAATTAATGTTGTAGAAGAACATGAAAGTTGACCTCGGGAATATTTCAGATTGTGGAAGATGACCTATTTCATATAACAGCAATAAATTGACCTGAAAAGTATTTTCATATTGTAGAAGTCGACCTGGGGAATATTTTATGTTGTAGAATATAACCCAGCGAATATTTTCATATTGTAGAAAAGATTTCCGATCACTTTTTATTCGAAATGACAAATATACAGGGTGTCCTTAAAAGGTCTTTACAAAAAGCTACCACATATTCTTCAGACCAAAACAATTCGATACAAGCAAACTTACCTCAGTAAAAAGTTGCTTAGTTTGGGCGCTAGACGGCTCTGAAGTTGAAATTTTCAAATCGATTTTGCTTCATAACTTTGGAACGGCTCATGAGATTTTTTTCAAATTTGGTACGTTGGCAAAGACTCATCGGGCAATGAAACTCATATCATAATCATAATGAATATCATTCCATGGGCGTAGAACTTGATTTTTTCAGGAAATAAACATCTAAAACTTCTACGCCAATGAAAAAAAATCAGTTTCAGTATAACATCTAGATAGCCCAAATCATTCACTACAAAAAAGGTACTCTTGATAAAATTCGATTACTCTGATGGTTTCGACAATATTTAAGTTTTAGTGATTTCGCGCATATTTAAATAATAAAACGATTGATAGATATTGCATGAAAGTTTTCCAAAATGTTCACTATTTTCGCGTGAACAAAGATTTATACGACGCAAAAAGTTGAAATCCTAATCATAATGAATATCATTCCATGGGCGTAGAACTTGCTTTTTTCAGTAAATAAACATCTAAAACTCCTACGCCAATGGAAAAAGTTAGTTTCAATATGAAATCTAGATTGTTCAACTCATTCACTACAAAAAAGGTACTCTTGACAAATGGTCGAATGGTTTCGACAAAATTTTAATTTCAGTGATTATATAAGAGCATATAATCAATAATAAAACGATTAACAGATATTTCATAAAAATTTTCAAAATGTTCACCATTTTCACGTATACAAAGATTTATACAACGCAAAAAGTTGAGATGTACTTTTTGCATAGGTTATTTCTATTGAAAATAAGTAGCACTGGTTTTTTTTTCTGAAGACTATTATTATCTGCTCGAAAACAGTGATATTCACATTCTTGGTTTCCATAGTTTCATCTGTGTTGATTTGTCGAGTTTTATTGACGTTGATTGTTGATATCGGACTTTTCTGATTTATCATGGCCGTACAATACACCAATGAAGAATACACCGATATGTTATTGGTATTCGGATATTGTCAAGGAAATGGTCGAGAGAGTGTGAGGGTGTATTCGGCAAGGTTTCCAAATCGTCGCGTACCAAGCCACCCAACCTTTGCTGCAGTTGAGAGACGTCTTCGGGAGACCGGTCATTTTGCTCCTAGAACTGGTGATTATGGAAGACAGCGTTATGTAAGGATTTCCGAAGTCGAAGTAGAAATTTTAGACCGTATTGAAGAAAATCCAGAATTGAGTACTAGACGGATAAGTAATGAACTAGAAGTTTCTAGGAATGCCGTTCATGAAGTACTAAGAGAACAATTATTATACCCATACTACAAGACGCCAGTTAAGGGTTTATTAATCCATGATTCACAAAGTCGTCTGATGTTTTGTAGGTTCATTAATATGCAAAGAGAAATGAATCTGAACTTTGGAAAGAATATTTTGTTCACTGATGAAGCCTGTTTCACGAGAAGAGGAATAACTAATTTTCATAATGAACACGTTTATGCAATTGAAAATCCTCATTCCATTAAAATAAACCATTTTCAACACGAATTCAAAATCAACGTTTGGGCTGGAATAATAGGAAATTTTATAATTGGTCCTGTCATACTTCCACAAAGATTAACAGGAGACATGTATTTACAACATCTACGAAATACGTTGCCAAATTTGTTGGAAGATTTACCACTCCAACATCGGGTAGATATGTGGTTTATGCACGATGGAGCTCCACCACAGTTTTCGGTGGATGTTAGGAATTTTTTAAACCAACAGTACCCAGACAGATGGATAGGTAGAGGTAATGATGCACCCGTGAATTGGCCACCACGTTCTCCAGACTTAACACCGATGGATTATTTTGTATGGGGTTATCTCAAGTCTACGGTTCACAAGACCCCTGTGAATACTGTAGAACAATTATGGCAACGTATCCAACAGGCGACGAATAATCTTACAGGCGATGAAGAAGTTATGCAAAGAGTACATTTCAACTTTTTGCGTCGTATAAATCTTTGTATACGTGAAAATGGTGAACATTTTGAACAATTTTTATGAAATATCTGTTAATCGTTTTATTATTAATTATGCTCTAAATCACTAAAATTAAAATTTTGTCGAAACCATGAGAGGAATCGACTTTTGTCAAGAGTACCTTTTTTGTAGTGAATGAGTTGAATAATTTAGATTTCATATTGAAACTAATTTTTTTCTATTGGCGTAGGAGTTTTAGATGTTTATTTCCTGAAAAAATCAAGTTCTACGCCCATGGAATGATATTCATTATGATTATGATATGAGTTTCATTGCCCGATGAGTCTATGCCAACGTATCAAATTTGAAAAAAATCTCATGAGCCGTTCAAAAGTTATGAAGCAAAATCGATTTGAAAATTTCAACTTCAGAGCCGTCTAGCGCCCAAACTAAGCAACTTTTTTCTGAGGTAAGTTTGCTTGTATCGAATTGTTTTGGTCTGAAGAATATGTGGTAGCTTTTTGTAAAGACCTTTTAAGGACACCCTGTATATTTTTTTCTGCAGAATGTAGAGTATGACCTGAGGAACATTTATCATTGTAGAAGTCAACCTAGAGATTGCCAGTTGAAATCGGGAATAATAAAGACTAAGGAAGTTGACCTATTCCATATTACAGCAAGAAATTGACCTGGGAAATATTTTCAGATTGTAGTAGTCGACCTGGGGAATATTTCATGTTGTAGAATATAGTGCAGTGAATATTACCATGTTTTAGGAAATCGCAGATTAATCGTCAAATCCTTTTTTGAGGTGACCTCGGAGGTGACAAATATTTTTTTTTCGTTTTTCCAGAAGACGACCCACCTGGAACCCCCTCCCCTTTGGCCGGGGGCCACAAACCCTCCTTCAAAGGAGGCAGCAACAAGCTCGCCAAGCGCGCCCGCTCCTTCAAGGACGACTTCCTGGGCAAGATATCGCAGATGCGGTCGCCCCAAGGGGCAGCAGGGGCGGCCCGCTCGCCCCGCGGGCAGTCTCCCAAGGCGGGGACGGGCGGTGATCCAGGAAGGGCGGCTGTGGTGGGCAGAGGACCCGCCCACGATTTGGACGAGCTGCGGAAGCAGATCCAGGTGGCGCTCAAGCATTTCAGGTTAGGTTAGGTCATTACTACATGGGCGTGCTTAATTTTTTTTTCGAGGTGTTGAGAATGAAAAAAATGCAGTATTTCAGAATTCGTTCAACTCACTGAGACTTGACTGACAACGTTGGCGTACTAATTTTATTTTGAAGTGGATGAATATAAAAAATGACAGGATTTCGAAGTTGAACGCCCTACGATGATAAAAATTCTGGTTCCTACGAAAAAAGGGTTATCCTGTATTGTTCAGAGAACATCGTTAGAACCAAGGGAGATAAGGTAGGAATTGGTGTTCTTCTTAAATTTCTGGAGGTTATATGCCTCGGGGAGCACCTCCCTTGGCAATGTGTTCCTGAGCCTCGCTGTTGATGAACGAGTCTTTGGAAAGAGATGTTCTGCAGGTCTGCAAAGTGACCACGAAGGGGTGCGAAGCCTCAACTCGACGGGTTAATCTCGCGGGGACTGCCAAGGGAGGAACGATTGTTGATATTTCAGAAGAGCATCGTCCATGGAAATATCTATAAAATAGAGCCAGATCGCCAAATATTCGACGGTGTTACAGAGAAGTGAGTGAGTTTGTGAGCGAGGCATCACCCACGAGACGAATTGCCCTTTTTTGGACAGAATCCAACAGTTTCTGGGTATGTTTGGGTGCTGCACTTCAAATATGGGAACAGTATTCCAGGACAGGTCGGATCTGTGCCTTATAGATCATAAGAAGCTGACTACAAGTGAAATAGCTCCTGGCCCGAAACAGAAAACCAAGTTTTTGGGATGCACTTTTAGCAATTGATCTCACGTGATTTTCCCAAGAAAGAAGAAAGAAGGTTAGGTTAGGTCAGGTCATCACTACATGGGCGTGCTTAAATTTTTTCTCGAGATGTTGAAAATATAATAAATGTCAGAATTTCGGAATTTCTTCAACTCACTGAAACCTGATTGACGACAGTGGCGTACTCATTTTTTTTAGTGGGTTAATATAAAAAATGACAGAATTTCGAAGTTTAACGATTTAGGTTTATGAAAATTCGAAATTTGTGGCTACATTAGCGTATTTATCTTTTTATTCTCTTGCCCACGATTTCGACGAGCTGTGAAATCAGATCCAGGTGACGCTCAAGTAATTCAGGTTAAGTTAGGTCACTACTACATGGGCGTGCCCAATTTTTTTTCTGAGTTGTGGAAAATAAAAAAAATCAGAGTTTGAAAATGTCTTCAACTTAGCTTGACTGACGACTGATATCATTGGCGTACCAATTTTTTTTTTAGGAAGGAATACATAAAAAATGGCAGAATAATTACGCTTTAGGTTGATGAAAATTCGGAATTATGACTACATAAGCATAAAAATTCTAGATATATGTTAGTTTTGCTGAAATTGAAAAAAAATTTCAAAATTTCGGAATTTCTCCAACTCAGCGTGAACGAGACTTGACTGACAACATTGACGTACTGATTTTTTTCCAGAGGGGATCAAAAATGAAAAAATCAGAATTTTCAAGTTTCAACGCTTTAGGTTGATAATTATAAAATTGCGACTACTTAAGCTACGATTTTTTTTAACGAAATTATCTGAATTTCAGAACTTCTTCGACTAAATTGAGAGAGATTCGATATCCTGAAGTCGAAAGATATAGAAATGTCGGATTTTCATAATATTTTTGACACCAGCCATTAAAAAATCGATATTGCGACTTCAGGGTCGTATCTAAATGTTTATGAGGTGGTTTGAAATCAGTTTGGAGCACCTATTTTTTTCTGAGGGTGGGTCATATAAAAAACGTCGGAATTTCGAAGTGTCATCGACTTAAGTCTATGAAGATTTGAAATCACATCTGAATGTCGCGTGCGCATTTTTTTCTGAGAGGGTAATAAATAAATATTTATTTATTTATTTATTTATTTATGTGCAGGCCCCCTAACAGGCGCAAGCCCATTGACAAGGAGGCACATATTACAAAATAATACATACATATGCGTACCTAAATCTAGAATCCTAATAATAAACAGAAAATAAATATCTATTATGGGTGAACATTTTGTGAGTTATAAATGCAGTTATAATAAATATAACAAATCTTCATATATGTATATTTCTAAAAGATCAGTTAATATTTCGAATAATGCTATAACTTTCAACAATAGATTAATTAAATATACAGACGTGACAAAATTTTTAGGTCTCTATATCGACGAAAAATTATTATGGACTAAACATATAGACTATTTGAGAAATAAAATAAATCCGATCATAGGCATTTTATTCAAAATCCGAAATATTATTCCCATAAAATACTTGAAATGTATTTACTTTTGCCTCATTTATTCAAATTTGCAATATTTAATTTCTATTTGGGGGAGTACAAATATATCACGTTTGAAACCACTAATGAAATTACAAAACAAATCAATTAAGTGCATTTTTCATCTACATTTTCTAGAACCAACGATAAATTTATACAAACCAAGACATTTTCTGAACCTGATTTCGTTATATAAACTTAAAATATGTTGCTTTATTCATTTTGCCAGGAATAAGTTGAAAATATCAAATTTAGCTTTCAATGAAGTCAATACAGTCCATAATTATGGGACTAGACAATTGAATTACTTGATTGCAAATACATTCAAGTCAAACATTGGCAAACAATCTGTTTTTCACAATGGAATAATTTTATACAATTCATTACCGAATGAGTTAAAAAATATACATGATGCAAGAAGGTTCAAAATCAATCTTAAAAAATACTTGCTCAGGACAATTTGAAAGAAAAATATGTGGCATGATTTGATTACTTAGGAATGAAATATAACTTTAATCTTATAAGACACAATATTAATTCGTTTCCACTGAGTGGAATTCATTATAGTTAACCCTTTATTATTATTTTTTTATATGTATTTATGTATCCCTATCATAAACAGAAATGTTTCTTGGGGTAATAAAGACAATCAATCAATCAATAATTGTGCAAAAAATAAAAGATACAAAAATTAATTAGGAAAGAGAAATGATAGCGAAAATACACATGCAAACAAAGTAATAAGTTCGTGTAATTCATCAATGATACAAATAAGAACTAATCCAATAGGAGAGGAAAAAAAGGAGAAGAGAGAAAAAGAAAGCCATACGAACGTATGCAAAACTTGATCAATTCATCACATTCATCAGGGGAGAGCAACATACATCGATACAAGAAGTTCCTTCAACTTTTTTTTTATGGATTTTGAGGCACGAAATATATCAATAGAGGAGTCGCTTACCATGGTATTAAATGTTATGATACAACGTGTGATGGGTGCATTCCCTGAGTAATTATTCGTGTAGTGAGGAATTTGGAAGGTTTGTTTAACACGAGTGTTATAGGGGTTACATCTAAGATAGAAGCGATCAGTTAAATGTGGACAGTCTATAAGATCATTGAAAATTTTGAACACAAGATAAATGTCAATAAAATCACGTCTCATGGTGAGATACTCTAGCCTATAAAAAGTCAGATTACTTTGGTATGAAAAGTAATGTCTGTACCGATGAAACCTGTAATTGAGAACATTGACGAGCTTTTTCTGAACAAATTCGATGCGTTTAATGTATTTATCATACGCAGGATTCCATATAGTGCTACAGTATTCAAGTGTTGGCCTGACTAACGAGTTAAAAATTTTAATCACAGATCGGTAGTCCTGAAACTCTGTAGTGCTTCTTAGAACGAAACCTAGGGTCCTCAAAGATTTTTGCACAATATGTTCAATTTGAGCTTCAAAAGAGAGTTTGCCATCAAGCCTCACTCCCAAGTCAGTCACCTCAGAAGCTACATTGATGGGGACATCATTCAATTGTAGTTGAATCATAGTGGGGTTCAGATTTCGAGTGAAAGTAATCTGGTGACATTTCTTTATATTTAATAAAAGCCGATATGTGGCACAATACTTGGTGAAATTATTTATATCAGTTTGTAACTTTAAAATATCCGAATCTTCGTTAATGTATTTAAAAATTTTGATGTCGTCAGCATACATGGATATTTTGCAGTGCTTTAGGTATTTTTCAGCGTCACTGAGAAATATGCTGAAAAGCAGAGGACCCAGATGGGATCCCTGTGGTACTCCGGATGTTATACTATAAGATCTTGACGCACAGTTATTAATAGCCACGTACTGACTTCTATTACTTATGTATGAGGAAATTAACTGAAGCAAGTTGCCCTGCACACCGAAGTTTCCAAGCCTAATTAACAAGGTCGGGTGGTGTATTGTCGGTATTTCGAATTCTCTCCGATTTGAGTTGATGAAAATTCGAAATCACATCGACATAAACGTACTCAATTGTTTTTCTAGAAGATTAAAAATAAGAAAAATAAAAAAATAAATCAGATCAATAATTATTGGGATTCGAAATCACGACTTGAAGGGCGTACCCAATATTAATAATCGAAATACAGTCGGAACATCTTGATCAATAAGTGAACCAAATTTGAAAATAATATCAACGTACGTCGACAAGAAAATGAAATCATGACTTCAGAGGTGTACCATCTTTTTTCAATGAATATGAATGAATATACAGGGTGATTCACAGTGGATGGCACATTAGACGTTTCTGGAGAAAGCAACTCAGCAAAATTCTGAAAAGTTCATGCCTTGGATAATTAGTTGTGTTCTATCGACCTAAAATATTCTCAGCGTTGCGACGTTGCCGCTTATATTGAAAAGTAGCAGCAAAAATTCTGGAAGTTGAAAAATTTCGACTTTTCACCCCCTATATCTTTGTTATCATTCCCGCTAGACCCCAAGTGTGATAGATCGATGGAATCAGCTCTTCAGGGAGAATCTGAAAATGGAATGATATACAGGGTGTTCCATTGAAAAAATCAAAGTTGTTGCTACTTTTCAATATAAGCGGCAACGTCGCAACGCTGAGAATATTTTAGGTCAATAGAACACAACTAATTATCCAAGGCACCAACTTTTCAGAATAATCCTGAGTTGCATTCAACGAGAAATCAAAGATGTTGCTTCAGGGACGCACCAAATGTTTTCTTGGGGGGTCGAGGCAGGAGCAAATCATCATCTCGAAAATAAAAATTGTAAATTTCGGAAAATTTCAGAGACGTATTGTACAAACAGAAGCTGGAAATGCTGCCGGGCAAAATAATAAAAAAAGAACTGAGCTTGATAAATATTTGAAATCACTTCCACAAGAGCAAAACACATATTTTCCTGGCGGGGTTAAAAATAAAAAATAGGGTGCCCGGGAATTATGTGCAAAAAATCAAGGGGGTGAATTAAATGGGTGATCCAGGTCCATAGACATAGAATAAGAATGAAGATTCATTTTCTCCCAAGATTTTATAGTGCATGTTTGACACACTTTGTATTATCGAAAACTCCTGCTCCTTCCTGGACCGTGAATACATAGTTCTCAATATACAGAGTGTAGAGTGTGTTGAACATGTATCATGAGATATTTGAAGAAAATGAATCATCATTCTTATTCTATGTCTATGGACATGGATCACGCATTCATTTTCACCCCATTTTGGGAAGGAATTTTATGGCAGAAATTTATGCAATAAATTGGTTTTTATTTTTTTTCTTGGAAATGAAGCTGAATTTCAGAACACTCCAAGAAACCAAAATGTTGTATTCTCAGTTGAACAATAGGTTATGAAAATACAGATTTCAAAAAAATCAGCGGCCCACATTTTTTTGACAATAATATTCGGTAGGTTGCTCCCCGGGACGCCACTGGATTTCACAATTCCAATTGAATGATGGCTATATCAGCACCTCATGACAAAAATAATCATTGTCAAATTTGAAGAAAATCGATGGAAGGACATTTGAGATATTCGTAAAGAACCGATTTTTTTAAAGTTCAACACACTGTATGTTGAAAACTATGCATTTCCGCTCCCACATACATATGACAGGAATTTCTTTTTTCCTCATGTAGAAACGCCCCCTTGATTTTTTTGTGCATAATTTCTGGACACCCTGTATAAATCGACTGTCGATGGAGACGGCTATATTGGCGTACCAATTTTTTTTTTTTTTTTGAGAAGGCGAGAATCGAAATGAAGTCGGTAAGTGTACCAAATTGAAAACAACCACAACACGTCGGCAGGAAAATAAAAACGTTCAGGGGCGCACCAAATTTTTGCTCAGGGGTCGAATCACGAGCAAATCATCATCTAGAAAATAAAAATTGAAAATTTCAGAGACGTGGTGTACAAACAGAAGCTGGAAATGCTGCCGGGCAACGGCACCATCGTCTTGGACACCGTGTGGCAAATCAACTTGGCCGTAAAATCCGCCGAAAATTCCAACAACATAAGGAGTGCCACCCTGCGCATGTACGAATGCGTGGCTAGACTGATCAAGTTGTGCGATGACGTTCTCATTGACGACAAAAGTTCGGAACTGGATATGGAAAATGTCAATGATATCGTGCAACAGGTCGAGGATGCTGTCAAAGTAAGACTGAAATAGATTTTTCAACTTCATGATTGTTATAGTCGACTAATGCAATTTATTTTGTGTTTTTTTCACAAGTGTAAAGTTTTCGTGAGCTTTTTTCCCAAAACCCCTATTTTAGAAAAATAGAGGATGTTCAACTTCTTTAAGGAAACGTGATAATTTTTATAAATAGAGTTTATGTAACTTTTACGTTAGGCCTTCAACTGTGTCAACCACTCAGTACTAGAAAAGCTTGAATGTTATGGTCTCAGCGGTACTACCTACAATTTTTTTGAGTCTTATATAAAGGACAGACAACATTATGTATTTTTCAATGGAACAGTTTCCGAAACTAAACTAGCAACGATTGGAGTGCCTCAAGGCTCCGTTCTTGGACCCCTCCTATTCATAATATATGTCGATGACATATTCTATCACCTGCAGCCATCCGATTGCTTTCTTTTTGCGGACGACATTACTTTCTTCCACTCAAGCAACAAAATGATCTCACCACACAAAAACAAAGTAGACGGGTGACTTAAAGCGAATGGATTCGGCAACAATCCAAGGAAAACTAAAAAAATTGTCTTTTCTATGAATGAAGATGTCTCTCACGGCAATGTTGAACTCCTTGGGATCACCCTCGACAGTTACCTCAAGTGGCACGACCATATTGATTTTCTGAGTAAAAAACTATCCACTCAGATTTTTTTATTAAGAACTTTGAAGAAATCATTCAGCTCAACGGCCATGAGAATGTCGTATTTCTCACTTTTCCATTCACAGCTGCATGGTCTACCGAATAACCTTGTGGGGCAACTCCTCACAGGTTGAACGGATATTTATCCTCCAAAAAAAGGCCGTCAGAATAATTGATGGTGCAGGACCCAGGGAGGCATGTGGACAGATATTTTCGAAATTGAATATTATGACATTACCAGCTTCATATACAGGGTGGCCCACGGTCGATGGTACCTTAGACGTATACGGAAAACGGTACATTGGATTATCCTGAAAATTTGGTTACTCTAATAAGCGTTTGTGATCTAACGATTCAAAATATTTTCAGCGATGCAACGTTGCCACTTTTACCAAAAAGTAGCATCATCTTTGTTATTTCAAATGGAACACCCTGTATTTCATTGCGTTTTTAGATTCTTCTCGAAGAGCTGATTTCATCAATGCATCACACTTGGGATCTAGCAGGAATTATAACAGAGATATAGGGTGTTTAAAATCGAGATTTTTCGATTTCAGGAATTTTTTGTGTCGAAACTATTCATTATCGATCAAAACGGCTTGCATGTCCCTATCTCAACTTTTGATTCACTATCGACTGACATTTAATTGGAACAGATACAGGGTGATCAAAATTCTGAATCTTGGACCACCATTTTTTCCAATTAAATGTCGGTAGATAGTTAATCTAAAGTTAATATAGGGACATGTAAGCCGTTTTGACCAATGATGAATAGTTTCGACACAAAAAAATCCTAAAGTTGAAAAATCTCGATTTTGAACACCCTATATCTCTGTAATAATTCCTGCTAGACTCCAAGTGTGATAAATTGATGAAATCAGCACTTTGAGAAGAATCTAAAAACGCAATAAAATACAGGGTGCTCCATTTCAAATAACAAAGATGATGCTACCTTTTGGTAAAAGTGGCAACGCTGCTTCGCTGAAAATATTTTGAATCGTTAGATCACAAACGCTTATTAGAGTAACCAAATTTTCAGGATAATCCAATGTACCGTTTTCCGTATACGTCTAAGGTACCATCGACCGTGGGCCACCCTGTATATTTCATTGTCTTTTAGAGATTCACCAGAACATTCATTTATTTATCAGGCATAATAACATTCACAACTATACGACTGGAAACCTCATCCAAAAACTCCTTAAATGTCGATCTGTACAATAAACGTCCCGATAATTATAAATACCAGAATACCACCAAATTTAAATCTTCAATCAAACAGATGTTACTACGGTTCAATTTTTATTCTATAAGGGAATACCAATGTGCCGAATTTACTGATTAACACGGAATACCCACCTTCCCAGTGACACAGTATCTTTATCGACTGTTAAAAGCTTGCTACTTCAGTATGTTTATGTTTGTTTCAACTTGTTTCATATTTGTTAGTATTATTTGGTTGTATTTTACAAGTACTCAAATGATTACCCTGTATACTACTGACGTGTGTAATTGAAAGTATTTCAAATCACTAAATATATATCTATCTATCTATATATCTATCTACTTTTACTCTTTTTTTATTCACCTAATTCACGACATATTTGAATGTGAAATGATTGTTGATGATTCCCGTTTCATTGACTCCGAGGAAATGTGGCATTATTTGACAACAACGCATCTTTCGGGTATGTTCGGAGACGGTAGGTGAATCGAAAATTGGGCGAATCGAAAATTGGGTTAAACGAGACGTTCACCTTCTTCCGACGTGTGGAGAAAAAAAAAAATTCGAAAATGAAGTCAATTGGAGCTGCACCCTTAAATATAATTCATCCAGTATATGCCATAAATGTACTTGTATAATTAACATGGTTAAACCATTAATTCATTTATTATGGTGTGCTTATGTATAGCAGTAAATAAATATGTTGAAGAATTAGCACGGGTATCATTTTCATATCAATTTCGAGAAAAAAGTGGTCTACAGTTGCTGTGGTGTCGAGGAGAAAAAAATATTCAATTCGTATTCATCTTCGATCTATATAAAGCAGAAGGCTTGAACATTTTGGTCCTTCGAGCCGGATTTGAACCAGCGACCCATTTCTTGCTGTGTACACTGTGATATTTTATTTATTTAATTTAAATTTTGAGGCAAACTATGACTTTGTCAATGATATTTCTTTCTTGGGGTAAAAACTATATTTTAATTGATTGATTGAACTGCTCTACTGTACTCTTAATAATAATAATAATAATAAATCGTCTTTATTAAAATCACCAAAAAAAAAAAAACAATCATATAATAATTTGAACTATTCGAAATTGATTGTCTGATAATAAGAGGCGAGATTTAGCCTAAGGCTATTCTTACATCTAACCTCTTACTATAGACAGATGTGAAAGTGAAAAATTGTGGATTATGATTAATACATTGCTAGGATAACATTCAAATATAAATGAAGAAACAACTATTTAAATGCAATCAATTTAATTGTGATGAAAATAATTCATGTTTGATGAATTTTCGGAACGGAACTAGTTCAAGACTTTTAATATGTTCTGGAATTGAGTTGAATATTTTGACAGCATTATAAGTGAAACTCCTCTGGTACAAGGACGTGGAATGATGTGGCATAGTTAAAGCATTAGGATGTCTTATATTCACTGAATGTATACTGGATCTTCGAATAAAATTATATCTGTTTCCATCTGATGTAGTCATAAGAGCTTTGTATATAAATAGAGCTAAGTGAAGCCTCCAACGGTTTTCCATTGTCAACCAATTGAGGTCATTCAGTTTTTGAGAGATATGATCGAATTTTCGTAATCCATAAATAAACCTCACGCAGAAATTTTGTACCTTTTGAATTTTATATTTATGAGATCCGTCTAGACAAGGTCCATACAAGAAATCACAGTAGGAGAATTGCGACAAAACCAAACTGTCACATAACATCTTTCGTAGCTTGAAACTTAACGCAAATCGATTATTATATAATGTTTTGAGTGAGATAAATGACTTGCTCAGTATATTTTTAACGTGAGTTTTAAATCTGAGTTCATTGTCAAATACTAAGCCTAAATTTTTTGCCGAATGCACAATACTTAATGGAATATTATCAATAGTTATATTCAAATTCATAGATATCTCATTATAATAGTTTTTTGGGCAATAAATAATTATTTTTGATTTAGAGGAATTCAGTTTCAGGTTGTTAACCGGCTTTTTCTAAAAACTTTATCGAGATCATTATTAAGCTTATTTTCAGCCTCAAGAAGATTACTTTTAGAAAAACTGATTGATATTTGAGTATCATCGGCATATGCTTGTACTTCACAATGTTCTACAGAATTCAAAATGTCCGCAGTGTAAATTATAAAAAAAAGAGGACCCAAAATACTTCCTTGAGGGACACCAGCTGTAATGTCGACATAATTTGAATGATTATCATTCGAAACTATTTTTTGTCTTCTTCCTGCGAAATAAGATTGAATGAGAGTTAACGAGTCAATAGAAAATCCATAATATTTTAGTTTTGCTATCATAAGTTTGTGGTTTATGGTATCAAATGCTTTCGAAAAATCCAATAATGTTAGCATACTGACATATCTCTTATCCATATTAGAAAAAATATTATCGAGAACGCGCGTCAACGATGTGGTTGTGCTGAGTTTCTTTTGAAACCCAGTTTGGCACACAGGAATTATTTTATTTTGATCAGCATGTTGTGATATTTGTTTATATAAAACTTTCTCGAAAATTTTTGAAAGGCATGGTAGGATACTTATGACTCGAAGATCTGAGAATTCTAGAGGTGTGGAAATTTTGGGTAGAGGCCGACCTAAAGAAATTTTCCATAGTGATGAAATTGATTTTTTTCTATGCCATAGTTGATTAGGTGAGTGATAAAGGGGTCGATAAATGGGCTGCAATATTTCAGCATTGTGACACAAATATCATCTATTCCGTATGCATTAGATTTAATTTCGAATAAGAAATCATGTACTTCATCAATTGTCGTCATTTTGAACTCAAATTTGGTAGCATTATCGTTAAGAAAATTCCTATCGTAAAAATCAATGGAGTCTCTATACGTCATCACTACATTCGGTCCAAATTCTAGAGAAAAAGTCATTAATGTCATCAGGGTTGGATAAGTCATCTGGGATTGAATTGAGTTTACCACCAACAACTCTCATGTTTCTCAAAGTTTTTCCAAACATTTTTAGAGTCATTGGTTCTACAAAAGTTTTCTAAGTATCCTCGTTTTTCATTCCTGAGTGATGTGAGAGTGAAGTTACGTAGCTGCTTGTACGATGACCAATCAGCAGCAGTTCTAGTTGCTTTATATTTTCTCAGAGCTCGGTCACGCTCTGACATCAAAATTTTTAAATTCTGTGTCAGCCATGGTGCTTTCGGTTGGTCACCCTTACCCTTCTCTTTGGTGCATGATAATCAAATATTTGAATATAAAAACCCGTTAATATTTCAATTTTGCGATCGAGATCATTTTCTTGTAGCATATCATTCCAAGGCAAGTTTGCTAAATCAATTTTTAGGGCATTCAGATTAAAACCTGAATAATCTCTGAAGGTAACAAACTTTTCTTTGGTTACACGAGTTGGTAGCATGAGCTCGCAAAAAACAAGACTATGATCAGATATCAGATCAGCATTAACTGTCTTAGCGTCAATAACCAAATTCGAATCGCTGATAAAAATATTATCAAGTAATCTATCAATTCTCGTGGGTTCATTGATAAGCTGTGAGAAATTGAAAGAGTTGAAACAGTCCGAAATCAAGTTACTCGGCTGTAGCATGTCATGATTGAAATCACCAACACATATCAAGTTGTCAACAGTAGGAAGAAAATTAGTCAAAATACTATCCATATCGTTAACAAAATCTAGTACAGAGTTATTTTGAGGTGGCCGATAAATGACTCCAATTATAAAATATTTCTGATTGATTTTGAATTTTATCCATAAGTGCTCAAACAATTTATTAGCCAATTCCCCATCAAAGTTGAGAACTTGATACCTGATATTATTTCTCAGATAGATTCCAATCCCTCCTCCATGTCTATTCCTATCTTTTCTGATGAGACAGTAACCTGGTAAATTAACTTCTCAACTTCACGAATGAAACAATTCGACATTCCAAACAGTGAACAAAGTCGGTGTTTTTTTTCGGCAGAATCTCATCAACTTGGCCCAAGAAAAACTGACCCAACAACACCTAACCTACAAAACGGCGCCGAGATCGTCGTATTGCAGCAGTCTGGAGATGCCCCGCTCAACGGAACTCGCTGCCTGACATCCCGCTCACCCCCAAAGAGAGGGAAATATTGGAGCACACCTCCTACGTCACTCCTGTCAAAGTGCGGAACAGTCATAGCACGGAATCCATCCTCAGGTGTGTCCTCGACAATATTTTTTGCGTGACCTACATACAGGGTGTTTGGTTCAACGATGTATATCTAAAAGTTGGTGATAGTTGGTATTAAAATGGACGACTTTTGTGTTGGTTGCAGGAAAATATCTTTTTTCTACTGTTAAGTTTGGCAATTTTTTTTTTTAGAGATTCTAGTCCACCCCCGAAACCCCCGCTGCCGGAACGCCTGCGTCTCTCTCAGCCGGACAATTGCATAACGCCGCCTCCGTTGCCGCCTAAGAAGAAGAACGTGCGGATGCAACAGTTGGTCGACGAGGGGTTTTACAACAATTCGCCGAAATCGAACGGGTGCGAAAGGTGAGAGAAATAGTTATTTATTAAACAAGGGAGAAAAGTAGTAGATTTAAGCTCCAGGTTGTGTTGTCAACCGACGCGTAGCGGAGGAAGAAAAAAAACCGTGAGCTAGAATTTAATATTTTTCCCGTGTATAATACACTATTTTCTTCTGTGACAGAAGAAAGGACAAATCAATATTGAGAAGATATTACATTATTTTGAAATCTGAAAATTATCGACGTGAAATTTTATTTTATTATTTCTGCAATTTTCAGGCATTTTTGCGATTTTTGCAATTTTCAGGAATTTTTGCGATTTTTGCAATTTTCACTATTTTCATGAATTTTTGCGATTTTTGCAATTTTCAGGAATTTTTGCAATTTTCAGGAATTTTTGCAATTTTTGCAATTTTCAGGAATTTTTGCGATTTTTGCAATTTTCAGGAATTTGTTCAATTTTCAGGAATTCTTGAAACTTGCTATTTCTGCAATTTTCAGGAATTTTTGCGATCTTTGCTATTCTCAGGAATTTTTGCAATTTTTGCAATTTTCAGGAATTTTAGCAATTTTTGCAATTTTCATGAATTTTTGCGATTTTTGACATTTTCAGGAATTTTAGCAATTTTTGCAATTTTTACAATTTTCATGAATTTTTGCGATTTTTGCAATTTTCAGGAATTTTTTTAATTTTTGCAATTTTCAGGAGTTTTTGCGATTTTTGCAATTTTCAGGAATTTTTGCAATTTTTGCAATTTTCAGGAATTTTTGCAATTTTCAGGAATTTTTGCGATTTTTGCAATTTTCAGGAATTTTTTCAATTTTCAGGAATTTTTGCAATTTTTTCAATTTTCATGAATTTTTGCAATTTTTGCAATTTTCAGGAATTCATGCAATTTTCAGGAATTTTTGCGATTTTTGCGATTTTCAGGAATTTTTGCAATTTTTGCAATTTTCAGGAATTTTTGCAATTTTTGCAATTTTTGCAATTTTCAGGAATTTTTGCGATTTTTGCAATTTTCAGGAATTTGTTCAATTTTCATGAATTTTCGAAACTTTTGCTATTTCTGCAATTTTCAGGAATTTTTGCAATTTTTCCAATTTTCAGGAATTTTTGCGATTTTTGCAATTTTCGGGAATTTTTGCAATTTTCAGGAATTTTTGCGATTTTTGCAATTTTCAGGAATTTTTTCAATTTCCAGGAATTTTTGCAATTTTTACAATTTTCATGAATTTTTGTGATTTTTGTAATTTTCAGGAATTTTTGCAATTTTCAGGAATTTTTGCGATTTTTGCAATTTTCAGTAATTTTTGCAATTTTTGCAATTTTCAGGCATTTTTACGATTTTTGCAATTTTCAGGAATTTTTGCGATTTTTGCAATTTTTACAATTTTCATGAATTTTTGCGATTTTTGCAATTTTCAGGAATTTTTTCAATTTTTGCAATTTTCAGGAATTTTTGCGATTTTTGCAATTTTTAGGAATTTTTGCAATTTTTTCAATTTTTGCAATTTCCAGGAATTTTTGCAATCTTCAGGAATTTTTGCGATTTTTGCAATTTTCAGGAATTTTTGCAATTTCTTCAATTTTCATGATTTTTTGCAATTTTTGCAATTTTCAGGAATTTTGCAATTTTTGCAATTTTCAGGAATTTTGCAATTTTCAGCAATTTTTGCAATTTTTTGCAATTTTCAGGAATTTTTGCGATTCTTGCAAATTTTTAGAAATTTTTGCGATTCTTGCAATTTTCAGGAAAATTTTGCAATTTTCAGGAATTTTTGCGATTTTTGCAATTTTCAGGAATTTTTGCAATTTTTGCAATTTTCAGGAATTTTTACGATTTTTGCAATTTTCAGGAATTTTTGCGATTTTTGCAATTTTCAGGAATTTTTGCAATTTTCATGAATTTTTGCAATTTTCATGAATTTTTGCGATTTTTGCAATTTTCATGAATTTTTGCAATTTTCAGGAATTTTTGCAATTTTTGCAATTTTCAGGAATTTTTGCAATTTTTGCAATTTTCAGGAATTTTTGCGATTTTTGCAATTTTCAGAAATTTTTGCAATTTTCAGGAATTTTTGCGATTTTTGCAATTTTCAGGAATTTTTTCAATTTTCAGGAATTTTTGCGATTTTTGCAATTTTCAGGAATTTTAGCAATTTTCAGGAATTTTTTCAATTTTCTGGAATTTTTGCGATTTTTGCAATTTTCAGGAATTTTGCAATTTTTACAATTTTCATGAATTTTTGCGATTTTTGCAATTTTCAGGAATTTTTGCAATTTTTTGCAATTTTCAGGAATTTTTGCGATTTTTGCAATTTTCAGGAATTTTTGCAATTTTTTTCAATTTTCATGGAATTTTTGCAATTTCAGGAATTTTTGCAATTTTTGCAATTTTCAGAAATTTTTGCAATTTTCAGGAATTTGCAATTTTCAGGAATTTGCAATTTTTGCAATTCTCAGGAATTTTTGCTATTTTTGCAATTTTCAGGAATTTTTGCAGTTTTTGCAATTTTCAGGAAATTTTGCAATTTTTGCAATTTTCAGGAATTTTTGCGATTTTTGCAATTTTCAGAAATTTTTGCAATTTTCAGGAATTTTTGCGATTTTTGCAATTTTCAGAAATTTTTGCAATTTTCAGGAATTTTTTCAATTTTCAGGAATTTTTGCAATTTTTTCAATTTTCAGGAATTTTTGCAGTTTTTGCAATTTTCAGGAATTTTTGCGATTTTTGCAATTTTCAGGAATTTTTGCAATTTTTTCAATTTTCATGAATTTTTTCAATTTTCAGGAATTTTTGCAATTTTTACAATTTTCATGAATTTTTGCGATTTTTTGCAATTTTCAGGAATTTTTGCAATTTTTACAATTTTCATGATTTTTTGCAATTTTCAGGAATTTTTGCAATTTTCAGGAATTTTTGCAATTTTTGCACTTTTCAAGAATTTTTGCAATTTTTTCAATTTTCATGAATTTTTGCAATTTTTCAGGAATTTTGCAATTTTTGCAATTTTCAGAAATTTTTTGCAATTTTTGCAATTTTCAGGAATTTGCAATTTTTGCAATTCTCAGGAATTTTGCAATTTTTGCAATTTTCAGGAATTTGCAAGTTTTGCAATTCTCAGGAATTTTTGCAATTTTTGCAATTTTCAGGAATTTTTGCAGTTTCTGCAATTTCCAGGAATTTTTGCAATTTTCGCAATTTTCAGGAATTTTTGCGATTTTTTGCAATTTTCAGAAATTTTTGCAATTTTTGCAATTTCCAGGAATTTTTGCGATTTTTTGCAATTTTCAGGAATTTTTTGCGATTTTTGCAATTTCAGGAATTTTTGCAATTTTTTGCAATTTTCAGGAATTTTTGCAATTTTCAGGAAATTTCGCAATTTTCATCATTTTTTGCGAATTTTTTCTATTTTCATGAATTTTTGCTATTTTCAGGAATTTTTGCAATATTTGCAATTCTCAGGAATTTTTGCAATTTTTGCAATTTTCAAGAATTTTCGCAGTTTTTTGCAATTTTCAGGAATTTTTGCAATTTTCGCAATTTTCAGGAATTTTTGCGATCTTTGCAATTTTCAGAAATTTTTGCAATTTAGCAATTTCCAGGAATTTTTGCGATTTTGCAAATTTCAGGAATTTTTGCAATTTTCATGAATTTTTTTCAATTTTCAGGAATTTTAGCAATTTTTTCAATTTTCAGGAATTTTCGCAATTTTTTACAATTTTCATGAATTTTTGCGATTTTTGCAATTTTCAGGAATTTTTGCAATTTTTGCAATTTTCAGGAATTTTTGCGATTTTTGCAATTTTCATGAATTTTTGCAATTTTTTCAATTTTCATGAATTTTTGCAATTTTCAGGAATTTTTGCAATTTTTGCAATTTTCAGAAATTTTTGCAATTTTTGCAATTTTCAGGAATTTTCGCAATTTTTGCAATTTTCAGGAATTTTTGCAATTTTTGCAATTTTCAGGAATTTTTGCGATTTTTGCAATTTTCAGGAATTTTAGCAATTTTTTCAATTTTCAGGAATTTTTGCAATTTTTACAATTTTCATGAATTTTTGCGATTTTTGCAATTTTCAGGAATTTTTGCAATTTTTACAATTTTCATGATTTTTTGCAATTTTCAGGAATTTTTGCAATTTTTGCACTTTTCAAGAATTTTTTGCGATTTTTGCAATTTTCAGAAATTTTTGCAATTTTTGCAATTTTTCCAGGAATTTTGCGATTTTTGCAATTTTCAGGAATTTTAGCAATTTTTTCAATTTTCAGGAATTTTTGCAATTTTTACAATTTTCATGATTCTTGCGATTTTTGCAATTTTCAAAAATTTTTGCAATTTTTACAATTTTCATGAATTTTGCGATTTTTGCAATTTTTCAGGAATTTCTGCAATTTTTGCAATTTTCAAAAATTTTAGCAATTTTTGCAATTTTCAGGAATTTTTGCAATTTTTGCAATTTTCCAGGAATTTTTTGCGATTTTTGCAATTTTCAAAATTTTAGCAATTTTTTCATTTTTCAGGAATTTTTGCAATTTTTACAATTTTCATGAATTTTTGCGATTTTTGCAATTTTCAGGAATTTTTGCAATTTTTGCAATTTTCAGGAATTTTTGCGATTTTTGCAATTTTCAGGAATTTTTGCAATTTTCAGGAATTTTTGCGATTTTTGCAATTTTCAGGAATTTTTTCAATTTCCATGAATTTTTGCAATTTTTGCAATTTTCAGGAATTTTTGCAATTTTTGTAATTTTCAGAAATTTTTGCAATTTTTGCAATTTTCAGGAATTGTTGCGATTTTTGCAATTTTCAGGAATGTGTTCAATTTTCAGGAATTTTCGAAACTTTGCAATTTCTGCAATTTTCAGGAATTTTTGCAATTTTCCCCAATTTTCAGGAATTTTTGCGATTTTTGCAATTTTCCGGGAATTTTTGCAATTTTCGGGAATTTTTGCAATTTTCAGGAATTTTTGCGATTTTTGCAATTTTCAGGAATTTTTGCAATTTTTGCAAGTTTCAGGAAATCTTGCAATTTTTGCAATTTTCAGGAATTTTCGCGATTTTTGCAATTTTCAGTAATTTTCGCAATTTTTGCAATTTTCAAGCATTTTTGCGATTTTTGCAATATTCAGGAATTTTTGCGATTTTTGCGATTTTTGCAATTTTCACAATTTTCATGAATTTTTGCGAATTTTGCAATCTTCAGGGAATTTTGCGATTTTTGCAATTTTCAGGAATTTTTTGCAATTTTTGCAATTTTCAGGAATTTTTTGCAATTTGCAATTTCAGGGAAATTTTAGCAATTTTTTCATTTTTCAGGAATTTTTGCAATTTTTACAATTTTCATGAATTTTTGCGATTTTTGCAATTTTCAGGAATTTTTGCAATTTTTACAATTTTCATGATTTTTTGCAATTTTCAGGAATTTTTGCAATTTTTGCACTTTTCAAGAATTTTTGCGATTTTTGCAATTTTCAGGAATTTTTGCAATTTTTGCAATTTTCAGGAATTTTTGCGATTTTTGCAATTTTCAGGAATTTTAGCAATTTTTTCAATTTTCAGGAATTTTTGCAATTTTTACAATTTTCATGAATTTTTGCGATTTTTGCAATTTCAAAAATTTTTTGCAATTTTTACAATTTTCATGAATTTTTGCGATTTTAGCAATTTTCAGGAATTTCTGCAATTTTTGCAATTTTCAAAAATTTTAGCAATTTTTGCAATTTTCAGGAATTTTTGCAATTTTTGCAATTTTCAGGAATTTTTGCGATTTTTGCAATTTTCAATAATTTTAGCAATTTTTTCATTTTTCAGGAATTTTTGCAATTTTTACAATTTTCATGAATTTTTGCGATTTTTGCACTTTTCAGGAATTTTTTCAATTTTTTGCAATTTCAGGAATTTTTGCGATTTTTGCAATTTTCAGGAATTTTTGCAATTTTCAGGAATTTTTGCGATTTTTTGCAATTTTCAGGAATTTTTTCATTTTCATGAATTTTTGCAATTTTTGCAATTTTCAGGAATTTTTGCAATTTTTGTAATTTTCAGAAATTTTTTGCAATTTTCAGGAATTGTTGCGATTTTTGCAATTTTCAGGATTGTGTTCAATTTTCAGGAATTTTCGAAACTTTTGCAATTTCTGCAATTTTCAGGAATTTTTGCAATTTTCCCCAATTTTCAGGAATTTTTGCAATTTTCCCCAATTTTCAGGAATTTTTGCAATATTTGCAATTTTCGGGAATTTTTGCAATTTTCGGGAATTTTTGCAATTTTCAGGCATTTTTGCAATTTTTGCAATTTTCAGGAATTTTTGCAATTTTTGCAAGTTTCAGGAAATCTTGCAAATTTTTGCAATTTTCAGGAATTTTGCGATTTTGCAATTTTCAGTAATTTTCGCAATTTTTGCAATTTTTCAAAGCATTTTGCGATTTTTGCAATATTCAGGAATTTTTGCGATTTTTGCAATTTTCACCAATTTCATGAATTTTTGCGAATTTTGCAATCTTCAGGAATTTTTGCGATTTTTGCAATTTTCAGGAATTTTTGCAATTTTTGCAATTTTCAGGAATTTTTTGCAATTTTCAGGAATTTAGCAATTTTTTCATTTTTCAGAATTTTTGCAATTTTTACAATTTTCATGAATTTTTGCGATTTTTGCAATTTTCAGGAATTTTTGCAATTTTTACAATTTTCAGGAATTTTTGCAATTTTGCAATTTTCAGGAATTTTAGCAATTTTTTCATTTTTCAGGAATTTTTGCAATTTTTACAATTTTCCATGAATGTTTGCGATTTTTGCAATTTTCAGGAATTTTTGCAATTTTTACAATTTTCATGAATTTTTGCGATTTTTGCAATTTTCAGGAATTTTTGCAATTTTTGCAATTTTCAGGAATTTTTGCAATTTTGCAATTTTCAGTAATTTTTGCGATTTTTGCAATTTTCAGGAATTTTTTCAATTTTCAGGAATTTCTGCAATTTTTTCAATTTTCATGAATTTTTGCAATTTCAGGAATTTTTGCAATTTTGCAATTTTCAGGAATTTTTGCAATTTTTGCAATTTTCAGGAATTTTTTGCAATTTTTGCGATTTTTGCAATTTTCAGGAATTTTAGCAATTTTTTCAATTTTCAGGAATTTTTGCAATTTTTACAATTTTCATGAATTTTTGCGATTTTTGCAATTTTCAGGAATATTTGCAATTTTTGCAATTTTCATGAATTTTTTGCGATTTTTGCAATTTTCGGGAATTTTTTGCAATTTTTACAATTTTTATGATTTTTTGCGATTTTTGCAATTTTCAGGAATTTTTGCAATTTTTGCATTTTTCAGGAATTTTTGCAATTTTTGCAATTTTCAGGAATTTTTGCGATTTTCAGAAATTTTTGCGATTTTTGCAATTTTCAGGTTATTTGCAATTTTTGCAATTTTCAGGAATTTTTGCGATATTTGCAATTTTCAGGAATTTTTGCAATTTTTGCAATTTTCAGGAATTTTTGCAATTTTTGCAATTTTCAGGAATTTTTGCAATTTTTACAATTTTCATGAATTTTTGCGATTTTTGCAATTTTCAGGATTTTTTGCAATTTTTGCAATTTTCTCAGGAATTTTTGCGATTTTTGCAATTTTCAGGAATTTTTGCAATTTTCAGGAATTTTTGCAATTTTCAGGAATTTTTGCAATTTTTTGCAGTTTTCATGAATTTTTGCGATTTTTGCGATTTTCAGAAATTTTTGCGATTTTTGCAATTTTCAGGTTTTTTTGCAATTTTTGCAATTTTTGCAATTTTTGCAATTTTTGCAATTTTCAGGAATTTTTGCGATTTTTGCAATTTTCAGGAATTTTTGCAATTTTCAGGAATTTTTGCGATTTTTGCAATTTTCAGGAATCTTAGCAATTTTTTCAGTTTTCAGGAATTTTTGCAATTTTTACAATTTTCATGAATTTTTGCGATTTTGGCAATTTTCATGAATTTTTGCGATTTTTGCAATTTTCAGGAATTTTTGCAATTTTTACAATTTTCATGATTTTTTGCGATTTTTGCAATTCTCAGGAATTTTTGCAATTTTTGCAATTTTCATGAATTTTTGCAATTTTTACCATTTTCATGAATTTTTGCGATTTTTGCAATTTTCAGGAATTTTTGCAATTTTTGCAATTTTCAGGAATTTTTGCGATTTTCAGAAATTTTTGCAATTTTTGCAATTTTCATGAATTTTTGCGATTTTTGCAATTTTCAGGAATTTTTGCAATTTTTGCAATTTTCAGGAATTTTTGCAATTTTTGCAATTTTCAGGAATTTTTGCGATTTTCAGAAATTTTTGCGATTTTTGCAATTTTCAGGTTTTTTTGCAATTTTTGCAATTTTCAGGAATTTTTGCGATTTTTGCAATTTTCAGGAATTTTTGCAATTTTCAGGAATTTTTGCAATTTTTGCAATTTTCAGGAATTTTTGCAATTTTTGCAATTTTCAGGAATTTTTGCAATTTTTGCAATTTTCAGGAATTTTTGCGATTTTTGCAATTTTCAGAAATTTTAGCAATTTTTTCATTTTTCAGGAATTTTTGCAATTTTTACAATTTTCATGAATTTTTGCGATTTTTGCAATTTTCAGGAATTTTTGCGATTTTTACAATTTTCATGAATTTTTGCGATTTTTGCAATTTTCAGGCATTTTTGCAATTTTTGCAATTTTCAGGAATTTTTGCGATTTTTGCAATTTTCAGGAATTTTTGCGGTTTTTGCAATTTTTGCAATTTTTACAATTTTCATGAATTTTTGCAATTTTCAGTAATTTTTGCGATTTTTGTAATTGTCAAGAATTTTTGCAATTTTCAGGAATTTTCAGACATTTTTGCGATTTTTTCAATTTTCAGGCATTCTTGCAATTTCCAGGAATTTTTGCAATTTCCAGGAATTTTTGCAATTTTTGCTATTTCTGCAATTTTCAGGAATTTTTGCTATTTCTGCAATTTTCAAAAATCGCAAAAATGCCTGACACCATGATCAGCCCGATAGGACAGATAGTTTTCGAGATATCGGCGCTCAAAGGCAGCCTTTCGATTTCATTGCCAATAGGTGCACTCCGGTAAGCTACTACGTCTCCATTTCCCAAAATTGCCTTATTTCCACCAAAGATTTGTTTATTTCGACATCGAATTAGTCTATGTGAAATATTTCAGATTTTTATTAGGCCAAATAAAAATTTGTATATCCCCACCTGAGACTTCAGTACGATATATTCACCGAGTCATCTTCGGACGGCAGGAAGTGCCAGAAAACGGCGAAAATTCACGCGACTCATTGCTTTCCTAGTAGAAAATGACACGCTGAATCGAATGAGACCATGATCAGCCCGATAGGACAGATAGTTTTCGAGATATCGGCGCTCAAAGGCAGCCATCCGATTCCATTGCCAATAGGTGCACTCCGGTAGGCTACTACGTCTCCATTTTTCAAAATTTCCCGATTTCCACCACAGATTCGTTCATTACGACATCGAATTAGTCTATGTGAATTTTTTCAGATTTTTAATAGGCCAAATAAAAATTTTCATTTTCCCACCTAAGACTTCAGTACGATATATTCACCGAGCCATCTTCGGACGGCCGAAAGTGCCAGAAAACGGCGGAAACCCACGCGAGTTATTGCTCAAGTTCAGCTGTGTCCGAACTCTCATCTAGCTAATACCATCCAGTGACTAGTACAAACCTGATAAGTCCATGAGAAGACATATATTTTTTTAAAATTTCACTGAAATTTAGCCTACTGTTTTTTTTATTTTTGGAAATTTCAAAAACTATCGCATGTGATATGGGTAAGTACAAACCGGACTTCGTCATTTCAGGTTATCGCAGAGATCGAAATCCCCTGACGATTCGATTTCGTTGCAATCGGAGAGCGTCGGCAGCTTGGACTCGGTATTGAATTGTTCACGTGAGGAGGACGAAATGAAAGAACTGATGGATCACGATAACATGTTCATCGAAAATCACACTTCGGATATTTTGGGTGAGTTTGATATTTTTCAGGTTTGTTTTTTCGAGTGGCCCGAAAACAATAAAATTGGCGAAGAAATTTGCGAATTTGGGACATTCTCGACCCCTCTTACAAAAATATTGGGCACGCCTCTGGAATTGTATTTTTTATTCATGCATGGTTGAAGATACTTAGAAATTTTTGTCAGAATGTTAGATATTTCTTCGAAATTTTTCATCGAAAATCACACTTGGGGTATTTTGGGTGACTTCCACTTTTTCGATTTGCGAATCTAGATTGGAGATTCTGGACCCTTCTTAGATGAAATTTGGCACGCCTCTGGAGTTGTAATTTTTATTCATCTCAGGATGATTGAAGACACTTTGAAATGTTTGTCATAATGTTTGATATTTCTCCGAAATTTTCGGGAAAAAATTCTTCAAGGTCTGCATTTTGCAAAATTGGAGACCACGACAGAGGCTTTTTTTTTTCGAAAGGGGTCAACATTTCTTCTGACAATATCCGTGAAAAATTCATGTTCATCGAAAATCACACTTGGGATATTTTGGGTGAGTTTGATATTTTTCGATTCGATTGTTTTTTCGAGACGCCCGAAAAAATCAGAATTGTACGCCGCTGAAGGCGAAGATATTTGCGAATTTGGGAGATTCTCTACCCCTCTTACAAAAATATTGGGCACGCCTCTGGAATTGTATTTTTTATTAATTTCAGGATGGTTTTGAAGACACTTGAAAATTTTTGTCAGAATGTTTGATATTTATTCAAAATTTTCGAAAAAATAATTCTTCAGGGTCGGCATTTTGCGAATTCGGAGATCACGACAGGGGCGTTCAATTTTTTTTCCGAATGGGTTAAAAATGCAATATTCTCATTATTAATAATAATATAATATAATAATCTTTATTTTCCTTTAAGACAAAGTTACAAAATTTGTATAGGAATCGTCAAGAAACAAGAAGAGAGGAGATCGGAGATTAAACAATCCTGAAAAAAAAGGACGACACTACCTACTTATACACAAAAATTCTTCAAAACTATAATAACACTTATCAACAAGATGAATCTTGAGTGTTCGTTTAAACATTGAAACAGTTTTGGATTCTTTTATAAAATCTGGTAGCAAATTATAAACACGTGGAGCCATCAGGTCAGGAGATTCGAAAGCTAATTTGGTTTTTCCAAATGGTACATAAACATTGTTTTTTTGTCTTGTATCAATATTATGTTTACATTTATTAAGTACAAAGAATTTATTTCTATTCTCGAACACAGATAAGCACAAGTCAAAAATTAAAAGACTAGGGACAGTTAAAATTTTAAAATTTCTGAAAGCTGGTCTGCATGAAGCTAAGAGACCTATGCCACTAATAATTCGTATGAGTTTTTTTTGTGCTATGAAGACATCAGAGCAGCTAGAGGAAAAACCCCAGTAGCACACTCCATATCTCAGTCTGGAATCCACCTGAGCATAGTACAGCTTCAGCAGCTGATCATCATTTAAAACCTGCCTTATATTCCTGAACTGATATGAAATAGAGTTAATTTTTTTGATCAGAAAATCACAGTGATTCTGCCAATTTAAATGTTCATCAATGTGAAGACCTAAAAATTTTAAGCTCTCACACTCTGTTGTTACAGTGTCAGAATTATCATTAGCTCTAAAGCTTATGATATCACACCTCCGTTGCCGATGATGGAACCTCATTGAATCTGTTTTTTTCGCGTTCAAAAACAAATTGTTTGCAGAAAACCATTTGTTGATATTTTCAAAAACATTGTCACATTTTTCTTTCAAAACTGAATCTGATCTGTCAGAAATTATAATTGACGTGTCGTCTGCATACATTGTTATGAATGTTCCAGGAATTGAATATTCCAAATCATTTATATATAAAACAAACAATATGGGTCCCAATATCGACCCTTGAGGCACTCCTAATTCAGAGAAGACCATGCTGGAAGTTGCTTTGTTAATAGCGACGTATTGTTTTCTATAAGAAAGATAGTCTGTTATCCATGCTAATGGTATACCCCGTATGCCATAACGGAATAGTTTGTCTAAGAGAATCTTATGATCGACACAGTCGAATGCCCTGCTGAGATCACAAAATATCCCAACAGGGCACTCGCCTGCTTCAATATAGTTTACAATCTCTCTGTGATATGAATGTATAGCTGTAGTAGTGGATTTTTTATTCAGAAATCCATGTTGATTATTTGTAAAGATATTATGATCATCAGAAAATGAAAGAAGTCTTTTCAGAAATGCGTATTCGAATATTTTCGACATACTTGATGGGATTGTTACTGGCCTATAATTCTCCATTAAGTTTGGACTCTTACTTTTATGCACTGGTATGATTTTACCTATTTTCATCTGATTTGGGAATGAACCTTCATTGAATGACAGATTCACCAAATGAAGTAGAGGTTTAATTAAAACATGAAGACTCTTCTTCAAGAGAAACATGGGGAGTTCGTCATAACCTGAGGATCTTTTATTTTTAAGTTTGCTATTCAGTAATTCGTACAATTCAGGCTCAGTGTAAGGGTGTAAAAAAAACGAATTACTCGGAGATGGAATGTTTCTCGCAAAAGATTGATAATCCAAATTCGTCTTATATATTTGATCAGATAATACTTTAGTTACTTCTATGAAATAATTATTGAACATGTTAGCAACTAGCATCATGCCAATAAAAAGTTGGTCACAAGGAAGGGGGGATGAAAAATAAAAATGCATGACTGAAGTCGGAAAATCGAATTTATTTCGACACCATTCATAAAGAAATCAGTATTGTGATCTCAGAGGCGTCCCATTTTTTATCTCTGGAAGTCAAGGTGAAAAATATGTATATATATAACATTTTTTCGAAACCATCCGTAAAAAATTCAATATTTTGACTTCAATGGTAGGTATACCTATTTTTTTGTTTAGGTGGTCGAAATAATGATTGATATGAAGTAAAAAAAGGAATTTCGAAATTGCTGCATAAGAAAATCAATATCCTGACTTCAGAAGCGTACCTACCTATTTTCTTTTCTATGGGAGCCAAAAGTAAAGGAAAAGTAAAATTGAAAAATGAACTAGACACCACCTGAAGAAACAAGGCACCCCAGGGGCGTACCAGATGTTTTTTTCAGAGGGGTCAATTTTTTTAAAAAAAGCTCTTTGTTCAGGGTCGAAAATTAAAACTAATTATTGAAATTCTTTCAACACCATCTATGAGAAAATCAATATTTCGACTTTAGAAGCTCACCAATTTTTTCCTGAGTGGCCATTACCAATAAGAAAATAAACAAGACACTTCCCAAATGAAAAAAGAAACCTCAGGGGCGTATCAGAATTTTTTCAGAGGGTTCAAAAATGGAAGTTCGAGATTGTCATTCTAAAAAAAAAAGTTACTTCAGAGGCGACCTATTTCTGTTTTCCAAGACACAATATAGTTTGAGAGGTTATTATATCATATGGGCTCACCCAATTTTTTAGGGGACAAAAAATAAAAGGGGTCAAATTCTTTGACACTATCCATATAGAAGATAAATATTGCGACTACAGAAGCGTACCTTTTTTTTTCTAAGGGGACCATAAGCAAACGGAAAATCAACTAGACACCAACAAAAAAAAAGGACGCCAGGGGCATACCAAGTTTTTTTTCAGAGGGGAAAGAATAAAAAATTTATGATTTTTTGTTGAGGAGCGAACAGGGGCGTACGATATTTTTTTCCAGTGAGGTCAGGGTCGAAAATTAAAATTTAATTTCTAAATTCTTTCAACACCTTGAGAAAATCAATATTTCGACTTCAGTGGCTTACCTATTTTTTTCCTAACGGGCCATAAATGAAAAGAAAATGAAATAGTCATGCCCCAATTGAAAAAGAGGGACGTATCAGAATTTTTTCAGGCGGGTCAAAATTGGAAGTTCAAGATTGTCTTTCTAAAAAAAAATACTTCTGAGGCGATCTATTTCTGATTTCTAAGAGAATCAAAACTCAATATCGTTTGAAAAAAAAATTGTCATGGGCGTACCCATTTTTTATGGAACAACAAATGAAAATTTCAATTTCTTTGACACTATCCATATAGGGGACCATAAATAAAATGGAAAATGAACTAGAGACTACCCGAAAAAAAAAAAGACTCCAGGGGCGTACCAAACTTTTTTCCAGAGGGGGCAAAAACATAATATATAGACATATACATACATATACAGATATATATATATATATATAATATATAGAGTGAACAGGGGCGTACCAGATTTTTTTCCAGAGGGGTCAAAAATTGACAAAAAAAATCCAAAAAAACTTATTTCGTTCAGGAGCGAATGGCACTAACCTCTGGGAGGAATCCTGCCTAGCCGGCGATTCTTTCACCTCGTGCAACAACTACCACCGGCTGTCCAACGCCGATTCCGGATTCGCCTCCTCCGTGAGGTCATCGGGCTATTCGCAAACGAGCACCACCAGCTCGCAATTCGTGCACCACGTCAAGAAACAGACGAACATCGAGAGTGGCTTCAGGAGCAATGTGATCACGGTGAGACGAAGGAAAAAACCCGAAAAACCCCGAAAAACAAACATATAAACCCAAAAAATGTGTCGAACAAGTCTCTATCGAAACTCGCATAATCATGACGAATCCACTCTTCTGTTTACTGAAATTGATCGGGCTTGCGTCCGTCGACACACGTGACCAACCTTCCTTAATTTTCAGCGATTAAATGTTTGACGTTAATAACGTCAATTATGTTGGAAGCCAGAATGATCAATCAATGAATCAATCAATCAATCGTTTATTGGTGTTATCTATACTGATTAGAGGAAAGATTTGTTTGTTTGTTTGTATGTAATGAATAGGCTCCGAAAGTACTGGATGGATTTGGCTGAAAATTGGTGGGGAAGTAGCTTAGAACTAGGAGAAGGTTATAGGACTTTTTATCTCGATACCATTAGGAAATTCAAGATGGTGGAACCAATATGGCGGACGAGTTTTGTAATTATAATCCGATTCTCTTCAAAATTGGTACCTTGGGGTTTTCGTGATCGGAGATTATAATTCCTTCGTCAAAATCGAGAAATTCAAGATGGCGGATCTAAAATGGCGGATTTTGTTATTAGGATCCGATTTTATTCAAATTTGGTATCTGGTGGTTTTCGGAGTCGGAGATTATGATTCTTTCGTCAAAATTAGTAAATTCAAGATGGCGGACCCAATATGGCGGACGAATATTGTAATTATCATCCGACTCTCTTCAAAATTGTTATCTGGGTGTTTTCGGAGTCGGAGACTATGATTCTCTCGTAAGAATTTGAAAATTATGGCGGAATTCGGAAATTCAAGATGGCGGAACCAATATGGCGGACGAGTTTTGTAATTATAATCCGATTCTTTTCAAAATTGGTACCTTGGGGTTTTCGTGATCGGGGATAATGATTCCTTCCTCAAAACTACATTCAAGATGGCGGATCCAAAATGGCGGATTTTGTTATTAGGATCCGATTTTATTCAAATTTGATATCTAGTGGTTTTCGGAGTCGGAGATTATGATTCTTTCGTCAAAATTGGGAAATTCAAGTGAACTAACAAGAAGTTGAAATAAATGGTAGTTTGAAAAACTAAGGAAACACGCTTTTATAGATAGCGAAACTAAAAAGAAGTAGACAATTAAATAATAATAGTGTCTGAAATGAACTGAAAAAATATATTATAGAAATAATGTATAAAGCAAAACAACGTTTGCGAGGTCTACTAGTTATACAATGAATTTATTCACACAGGTCAAATGTTAAATACATAAAGGGAGAGTGACTTCTTCATTAAAAAAATTAGTTCAACTGAAATGTCTCAAAAAATAATATGCTTTCTTCAGTAAAGATCTATGAATTTTGAACCTTCCATTTGTTTAAAAGTGTCACATAAAACATTAAAAAACGTACAGCAAGGCACCTAGGGCCATCTTGACACGTTCCTAGTCTACAGAATTTGAGTTTCAAGTTTATTATTCGTTTCTTGTAACTTGTAACTATATCATATATATCATATCGTAAGTGGGTCACTCTGTATTTCCTCGCAGAATTTCAGCCAATCGTCTAGCAGCAGCAGCAGCTCGGTGGTGATGATGTCAAATAGCGTGGCGATCGGCAAAGAAGAATTGCCGCCCGCTATTCCAGAAAAGACTAAGAAGAAGACTGAGAGACATCCGTCCCCGTACGACAACGTTCCTGAACAAAAAATGGGTGAGTCACGTGTCATTCGATCCGAAAAAAAAAGAGTTGGTACTGTGCTGTTTCGGCACGCCAGGTCTCATCGGTCTCACTCGGTATGCGGCCAGGTTACTAGTCTTTCACCCTGTTTGAGAGATAGTTAATGAATCATGAAATCTACGCACGTTGTGACACGCAATTTGAATTTTTTCGACGTTGGAACAATGTAAATTACTTATTTTTTTCTAAATGCAACCGTCTCCTTACGACAATGTTCCTGAACAAAAAATGGGTGAGTCACGTGTCATTCGAACCGAGAAAAAAAAGAGTAAGTACTGTGCTGTTTCGGCACGCCAGGTCTCATCGGTCTCACTCGGTATGCGGCCAAGTTACTATTCTTTCACCCTGTTTGAGAGATAGCGAATGAATCATGAAATCTACGCACGTTGTGATACGCAATTTGAATTTTTTCGACGTTGGAACAATGAAAATTACTTATTTTTTTCTAAATGCAACCGTCTCCTTACGACAATGTTCCTGAACAAAAAATGGGTGAGTCACGTGTCATTCGATCCGAAAAAAAAGAAGAGTTGGTAATGTGCTGTTTCGGCACGCCAGGTCTCATCGGTCTCACTCGGTGTGCGGCCAGGTTACTAGTCTTTCACCCTGTTTGAGAGATAGTTAATGAATCATGAAATCTACGCACGTTGTGACACGCAATTCGAATTTTTTCGACGTTGGAACAATGTAAATTACTTATTTTTTTCTAAATGCAACCGTCTCCTTACGACAATGTTCCTGAACAAAAAATGGGTGAGTCACGTGTCATTCGAACCGAGAAAAAAAAGAGTAAGTACTGTGCTGTTTCGGCACGCCAGGTCTCATCGGTCTCACTCGGTATGCGGCCAAGTTACTATTCTTTCACCCTGTTTGAGAGATAGCGAATGAATCATGAAATCTACGCACGTTGTGATACGCAATTTGAATTTTTTCGACGTTGGAACAATGAAAATTACTTATTTTTTTCTAAATGCAACCGTCTCCTTACGACAATGTTCCTGAACAAAAAATGGGTGAGTCACGTGTCATTCGATCCGAAAAAAAAGAAGAGTTGGTAATGTGCTGTTTCGGCACGCCAGGTCTCATCGGTCTCACTCGGTGTGCGGCCAGGTTACTAGTCTTTCACCCTGTTTGAGAGATAGTTAATGAATCATGAAATCTACGCACGTTGTAATACGCAATTTGAATTTTTTCGACGTTGGAACAATGAAAATTACTTATTTTTTTCTAAATGCAACCGTCTCCTTACCACAATGTTCCTGAACAAAAAATGGGTGAGTCACGTGTCATTCGAACCGAAATAAAAAAGAGTTGGTACTGTGCTGTTTCGGCACGCCAGGTCTCATCGGTCTCACTCGGTATGCGGCCAAGTTACTATTCTTTCACTCTGTTTGAGAGATAGAATTTTTTCTAGGTTGAAATATTGGAAGTTCATTCAAACAAAAAATGAGTGAGTCAATCTACATTAAAAAAAAACAATCGGTACTGTGCTGTTTCGGCATGCCCGGTCTAATCGGTCGCACTCGGTGTGTTGCCAGGTTTCTAGTGTTTCACCCTGTTTGAAAAATAGTTGATAAATTATGCAATATTGATACGTTGCGATACGCAATTTTGATTTTTCTCGAGGTTGGAACATTGGAACTTACTCATGAATGGGTGAGTCACGTGTCATTCGAACTGAAATAAAGAAAAGCGAGTGGTACGGTGCTGTTTCGGATCGCCAGGTCTCATCGGTCATACTCTGTATGCTGCCAGGTTTCTAGTCTTTCATCCTGTTTGGAAAATTAATTATGATATCTAAATTCTGATTATTTCGAGGTTGGAACATTGGAGGTTACTCACTTATTATTTTGAAATTTAAGCGTCTACGTACGACAATTTCAGTCGAAAGAAAAAAAAAAGGCAGTACTGTGCTGTTCGGCTTGCCAGATCTCATCGGTCGCCCTCGGTATGCCGTGAGGTTCCTAGTGTTTCACCCTGTTTGAAGAACATTGGAAATTACTCACTTTTTTCTTAAATGCAACCGTATCCGTACGACAATGTTCCTGAACAAAAAATGGGCGAGTAACGTGTCATTCGAACCGGAAAAAGCGAGCCGTACGGTGCTGTTTCGGTACGCCAGGAGTCATCGTTAACACTCGGTATGCTGCCAGGTTTCTAGTCTTCCATCCTGTTTGGGAAATAGTTAATGAATTATGAAATCTACACACATTGTAATACTCAATGTTGATTTTTTCCGAGGTTGGAACAATGTAAATTACAATTTAAAAAAAATGCAACCGTCTCCGTACGACAATGTTCCTGAACAAAAAATGGGTGAGTCACGTGTTATTCGAACCGAAAAACAAAAGAATGATAGGTTGCTGTTTCGGAACGGCAGGTGTCATCGGTCACACTCGGTACACTGACAGTTTTCGTCCTTTTCGAAGATGAGTGAATGAATAATTATTAAATCTAAATTCGTTGCGATACTTAATTTTGATTTTTTCGAAGTTGGTCATATTGGAAATGTGGAAATAACTGGTCTAATTCCGAAATAATCTTCAAGGGGAGGATTCTTCGAGTATATTGTAAGCGACGAAAATCAAATCACCCCGTAAATGAAAAAAACAACTAAGAAATGCCTTATCACAAGCGGACGATTCATCGGTATTCATAATCATCATGCGATTGAAAATTGAAGCGGACCTAGTCATTAGCATGATAGCATCAGAACGAATCACTTGTCGATGTTGTATTTTATAAACGGAGATAGTTGTATGTTCAAGCTATCCTAAGTGAATAATTAATGTCTTTAAGTGTGGAAAATATGTCTATCTACGATTCCTCAGTTCCGAATCCAACAATATAGTGTATACAGTGTGTCCCACTTCCCATGCTCACCATGGGTATCTTTTTAACGGTGAGAGATACGAGGTCGGTTAAATGACACCAAATGTGGAGTTTGTCAAGGCCAACTATAATGTGAAAAAATATTTCGATAAAATCTATTCGTTTTCGTTTTATGCGCAAAAAACAGATTTTGATCATTTTCATGTCTCCTCCGTCACTTCTTCATTTATGAAAATATTCAAATAGGAATTTCACATTCTCATGGCAGTTTTTCAAAATGGTTTCGATCAACTTGGAATTTGGCTGGTGTTCATAATTTCGGTGACAATACATTATGGAATTTTTGTTTAAATTAAAAAAAAAAGGCTGCTCCAAGATGGCGGACAAGATTTGGTCCGATTCCATTCAAAATTGGTAAGTGGGGGTTTTTGAGGTCGGAGATCATGATTTTTTTGTTAAAATTCATAAATTCAAGATGGCGGCTTCCAAATAATTTTTCGTTTTTGTATAAATGACGATAACTCCGTTGTTATCAACACAAAACTATTACTGCGACACATCATCTGAAAGAAAAAAAAAAGTTATTTGTAACTAAGTCATAGTGAGCTATGACCTACATTTGAAAAACTAAAGTTGGTGCTGATATCTCAAATTCTAGAAGAGTTGGTATAAATTTCATATTTTTTTCGAAATCACTTTGAAAAACTGCCATGAGAATGTGAAATTCCCATTTGAATATTTTCATAAATAAAGAAGTTACGGAGGAGACATGAAAATGATCAAAATCTGTTTTTTACGTATAAAACAAAAACGAATAGATTTTATCAAAATATCTTCTCACTTCATAGTTGGCCTTGACAAACTCCACATTTGGTGTCATTCAACCGACCTCGTATCACTCACCGTTAAAAAGATACCCATGGTGAGCATGGTAAGTGGGACACACTGTATTTTTCGTGATTATGGAAAATACGGTGGTATAGACTGCAAATTTGTTGTCTATTTTGACACTTTTCAAAACTGACGGAAGTTTTGATACGTCTCAATTTACGTAACTAGTTGCGTAAAGTAAAATGTTTCATAACTAGTGATGAAATAATTATGATTTCAAAATTTCCAAACCTTGTTTGTCCAGTTACGGAATGAAAATATGGATGGACGAAAAGAATAGTGAATTTGATGCTGCTTCCTTGATATTTCTTGGCAAATCTGGCATTTTAAACTAATGAATATATCTAAGGAGTGACAGGCGGAGTCAAATTGTCTTTTATTTTTTTTACATAATCGGTAGGACTTATGTAGAACTGGTTATTATTTTTGTTCAAGCTTAATTTTTCGTCAAAATTAATTACGTATTACGTAACTAGTTAGGAAATATCTATTTCAGGTGAGTTATTGATAACATGCCAGAGGCACCAATCACATCACAGCCTATCAAATAGTTTGACCATCACTAACAACTGGGAACAAGAAAGCAACGAACCTCCGCCGTTGCCTCCAAAAAAGAAACATAGTGAGTATTTTTTTTCTCACCCCATTTTATTCAGTTTATATTCACGGTTGGTTCTTGAAAAGGGTACACACAGTGTCTCCCATTGTGAACAGTGCTCTTGAATTTTTTTATTTGTCGATCGATATCATATTATGTATGTATTTTCCAATTTCCACGATGATATACAGAGGAGTGCACAAAAAACGGCCAGGGCTGTAATTTTTGAATTATTCGAGATGAGGTTTTGAAAATTGGTGGACAGCTAGTATACCAAGTCCCTCATTAATTGACGAAACAATTTTTGTTCTATCACTTCCGGTTTTACTGGAAACGACCCCAATTTTTGATTTTTTAATGGGACACCCTGTATTGTATTCCATATTCGGTTAGAGATTGTCATAACGAATTCATCGATACCGGGTTTGATAGGGTTATTTCAAACGATTACGCAGATATTCGCGTTCTACGTTTCCATATGCTCAATGAGTGTGACAGAGAAAGAAGTTTTGTTATTGTGAAGTCACACGCATTGAGCATATGGAAAATTCGAACGCAAATATCTTTGTAATCGTTTGAAATAACCCTATCGTACCCGGTATCGTTGAATTCGTCATGATGATCCCTAACCGATTATGGAATACAATACAGGGTGTTCCATTTAAAAATGAAAAGTTAGGCTCGTTTCCGGTGAAACTGGAAGTGATAGAAGAAAAATTGTTTTATCAATTAATGAGCAATTTGGTATAGTAGCTGCCCACCAATTTTCAAAACTCTATCTAAAATAATTCGAAAGTTACAATCCTGGCTGTTTTTGTGCACTTCTCTGTTACATATACAAGGCGTTTTTATAAGGAATTCTCTATTTTCCGTGAAAACAATAATTTAAAAATATAAGAATATTATACACAGACTCCTTATGTACAAAACTTTAATTGATTTTCGAGTCTTGGAGAATTAATATTGAAAAAAAATTGATTAATTTCGAGAATTTCCATTATTTTCATTATTATTTTCAGACAATCGAAATGTAATCATGAGAACTAACAGCATCCCACAGAGATTATTATAGCTTCAAACATCTTGTTTCTCAAAACTATAAATCTCTTTGAAATATGTTCTTTATTATATTCAAGTTCAATTCATTATTTCATATTCAATATTTAAGAACATTCTTTGAGGTTACAATCGTTGTTTAATTAAGAATCTTTTTTCCTAGTGTTCCAATCTGTGGCTTACTCGGGTAAGTCAACAGGAACCAGGATTTATGATGTTTTTGATTTTTTACCCCTTTCTAACATTCATATCATATTTTCCGGCTTGTTTTTGGTTGCTCCCGAGTTTCATTTGAATTTTGACCTGGACCAATTCTCGTTCCCAAAATTGATGGTGAATCCCGAAAATAAAATTAAAATTGACGAAATTCGGAGAAAAATTTTGGTTCTGGAAATATCTTGATAGTACAAAAATGATTGGAAAATGGGGGATAACAATTCATTTTTAGGGAAAAGTTTCTTCTAACTCTTTCTCAAGTCAAAAAACACGGACAAATTTTTTTTTTCGAAAATGTTCCAAAGTCTATAAACTCGAACTCTGGGGAATAAAATCTTCTAATTATAAAACAATAGTCACACTTCACTATCATTTACTTTTTCCTCGGGATTTTAATATATATTTTTTTGTAATTTCCTGAAAATGTTCAAGATGCTTAATGTATTGAGCGATTCAATTGGTCTTGGTGAAAATTCACTAAATTTTGCTTGAGGGAGGTTTTTTACGCAAAAAAACCTGAGAAAGATTCTGCTCAATGCGCGGAATATCCAAACTGTCATACTGAAATATACATAACCTAATATCTAGACCGCTATACATATATCGTGCTCACTCTTACCTATGTTTCCAAACAGGTTCTATTATTGACTCTCAGGGTAGAGTAAAGTTGATTTTATCAGGTTACTCTGAGTTAATTACTATTCCATGTATATATTTTATGACTTTTCTTTCAGCATCAAAATATGGTACAATACATATCAGTCACATCTGTCGTGTCTTTAATGCTGTTGTAGTACTTACCAAGTAAAATATACCCACCTATTTTGTGGAGTTACAAGAAGAGTCAACTTGACGTCAAAACTGTCATAATATATCAACAAAATCTGATGAATTTCGAACGCAAATTATTGAAATCTAGTACACAGAGTCCGAATGACAGTTTGGGAGGTCTAGTCGATCGAGCAGAAGCGTTTTCAGGCGAGCAATTCACCAATGTATGGTTTTCGTGTTGCTGGGATATGACATAATTATGACGGCCTAGATATAAGTGATTTCGACAGGCATCCTGTTATTATCCCCACCATTGGCGATTTCCTTCATTTAACCGTGTTCGGCATCATCGCGGTGTCTATCTTTTGTTATTCAATTATGAGGTTATGTCAGTGTTTGGAACCAATGAACTAAATATAAACAACTGGAAGGGACCCTCTGTGAACGACGAGTGAGGAAAAAATATTGTTCAGGCAACCCGCAGTGTTTACGGATACCTATCTCTCTCTATCTTATGTTCGCTGATGGGAAGCGCTCGCATTATTTGAAATATTTTCTCGTTTTTTGATTTTATTCAAGAGTAAACGTGATTAAATAATAATATACATATAGGAAAAAGGAAAATGCTTCAATCAATTATCATTGAAACATTATTATTTATTTTATTATTGACTTAAAAATGAAATTTCATTTTTATTCTCAAAGGATAAGGAAGTCAAATGAATACAAAATTGATATTCTTTATGTTCATTCAAATGTCACAATATATTATACAGGGTGACGAAGCACAATGTCTTAGCACTATCAGAAGAAAAAGAAAAACGATAGGAAAAATTTTGAAAAGAGGTTCTTGAATGGTATTGACTGCCTAAGGTTCATTTTGAGCATAATTTCCATAGGTTCCTATTTTACCATCAGGTCACTGCCTACAAACATATCCCTATTAAAAATTTAAAAAATACAATCCTCTATACAATATCCTTCTCCAATGGAACAGTTTGGTGGGTTTCTTTATTCCATAATATGAGGAACATCTTCCTCAATTAGGACCCAATGTTATGAACTTCCACAGATGCATCCTGAAAATAAATTACTAGCTAGTTTTTTATTTTGAAGAGGTGCAAACATACTTTTTTTTCTATTATTAATCAACTATGTACCTATGAGTTTTCTTATTTTCCTTCAAGGATCAGTATTTTTTGGTAACAAATGCTTGGGAAATGGAAATATACTGGGTACATCATCTGGTTCCAATAACCTAGCAGTACCTGGTATTTCTAAATAAATAATCAGTTGGCAAGAAATGCTCCCTACAAAGCTTGCTGGTTTTAGATGGAGTCCAACTCTCTCTACAAACTGCCTTAATCCATAATTCAAGAATGTCTGAATGGGAAACTGCTACAAATAATATTACCCAATATGTTCATGGAAAAGTCATGGAAGTATTTAACTCTGACAAATAATATAGGTATAGTTGTTGAACATATTATGAGACTGGGAATATTGTACACCTAACTGATAATCATTTCGAGAATTATATTTTCCAAAAATTCTGAACAATATTCAACATACCCATGGAATGACAATTGCCTTTTGTCTTGCTCGTTCTTGCATCCAAAGGCGACACAATAAATCACCATTGGTTTATCAAAACCTTCTCAACAATCAATTCACAGTGTTCACACCAACAAATTCGGTCCTTTTCATAAAACAAAACACGCCAAATGAATAGATATTTCACATAAACAAAGACAATGAACTTATGTCTTCAGTTTCTTGCCTGTTTAGATGAGAGAAAAAATCTAAAGTACTTTAATTATTAGATTAAAGAGAACGTAAACACCAACCCACCATTATAAACAACGCGAGTAGGAAAGAGACAGGTTACCGTAAATCATGATATCTTTGTTGCAGCTGTCCCTGACACACTTTGTGCTATTCGAGAGAACGGCCGTCTCCCTTCCAGTTGTTTTTACTGAGTTCATTGTTTGGAACGGACCGTAACCGATCGTTCGTTTTTTTAGTAATGGCGTACATGGAGATGTTCGGCAATTGTTCGCACACCAGCAACCAGGAATTTTTGCGACACTCTGTGCACATGGTGCATGCCCAATACGGGCCGCCCGTCCCTCAAGGGCTGCCCACTGCAAGGTCATGCGCTTTCGGCCGCCCAAGCCGCTCCTACTCGACCGCAGCGGAGGACGACAGGTGCGATTTAGATGTTTTTATGCTAGAAGGAATGTCGCATCAGGGTCGCTGGCTTCTGTTTGTTGACTCCGTTTATTTGTTGTTTTGGTTTTCTACCAAGTGCTGGTTCCGAGGACCCTGTATTATCTGATGTAGCGGAAAAAAACTTTATCGAAAATTATTCAAGATGATATTTCAAATTTTGAAATCGGTTTAAAAATAACTGAGCTAGAGGGGGGGGACATTTATGGCGAATCACCCTGTACCTTCTACTTTTTCTTTCAAGGTCACCATCGCCACCCCGCACTCCCCACCCCTCCAACGCTCTCCCTCCCGCCCTTCCCCCCAAACAGCGCTCGCGCAAATCCTCTGCCCGCTCCCCTCCACCTACCCCCACTTCATTTCCCTCGAAACCTCCTCCCTCCCCCTCCTCCAAACCCCCACCGCCCCACCTCCTCCCCGATCTCCTCGAGCACACGACCAAAAGCGAGGGGAAGTCCTCCCATTCCCCCCATTTTCCCTCCTCTCCTGACTCTTCGCCATCGGGAGGGGGGTCGCCTTCCCCCTCCTTCGAGGTGGACCTGATGGAGGAGCTGGACGTCGAGAGGTTTTTGTTGAAGAAGAAGGAGAACGAGGAGGGGCCTGATATTAGGGGGGGACCGATTGACGGGTTGATTATTCAGGCGACCAAGGCGACGAAGAATGGAGGTGAGCGAATTGATTTTATTCCAGGCACGAATTTGCAAATTGAGAAACAAAAACGTATTGAAATTGAGAGATGACACATTAAAATTGAGAGTTGACACATCGAAATTGAGAGTTGTCACATCAAAATCGAGAGTTGTCACATCAAAATCGAGAGTTGTCACATTAAAATCGGAGTCAACACCTTTGAATAGAGAATCAACAGATTCAAATTGAGGATAAGCACATTATGAGTGAGAATAGGCACATTAAAATGGAGAATATACACATTTGAGTTGAGAATAAACATTCTCGGATTGAGAATTAACACTCTCGAATTGGGAATAGACACTCGAATCGAGTGAGGGTTGTGCAAATTTTTTTCATTCCAATTACTGTGAGTCATCGACAAACTATTCCTATTTAACCTCCAAATTCAGGATGGATACTGTCAAAATAGTTGCGTTAATTATTCATGCTACCAAGGCGACTAAAAATGGAGGTGAGCGACCTGGTTCTCTTCAACGTTCCAATTTTTGAAGTACTTTTTGGGAATTTAGAATAAACACCATCGAAATGGAGATGAATGTATTGAAATTAAGAGTTAATCCATTAAAATTGAGAGTTAAAACATTAAAATTGAGAATTAACACATTAAAATTGAAAGTTAACACATTAAAATTGAGAGTTAACACATTGAAATCGAGAGTTAACACATTAAAATTGAGAGTCAACACTTTCGAATGGAAAATAAAAAGATTCAAATTGAGGATAATCACACTCAAATTGAGTATAAGCACATTCAAATGGAGAATAAACACATTAAAGTTGAGAATTAACATCGAATTGGAAATTAACACTCTCGGATTGAGAATAAACACTCGAATCTAGCGAATGTTGTACTGTTTTTTTTTATTTCAATGACAATGAGTTATCGACAAACTATTCCTATTTAACCTCCAATTCTAGAATGAATACTGCCAAAGTAGTTGCGTTAATTATTCAGGCTACCAAGGCGAATGAAAATAGAGATAACTGTTTTGTTTAACGTTCGAATTTTGATATGAACGCATTAAAATGGGAAATCAACAGATTCCAATTGAGAATAAACACATAGAGATCGATGATAAGCAAATTACAATTGAGAATAAACACATTAGAGTTGAGACTGAACACATTAAAATTGAGAATAAACACAAAGTTGAGAATAAACATTCCCGAATTGAGAATTAACACTCTTGAATTGAGACAGCAAAAACATAATATCAGATCATGTTTGACTATCTGAATGTGAGATAAACGAAAATCAGTAAGTAGGCTTCAGGATATCCATTGAAATGTAAGAAAATATTCACAAACATACAGGATGTTTCAATAAAGCGAGTCATCATTTATTTTTGCTCTATTGAAATCAGCATTGAATTTCAGAACTGTTTCCATATTTAAATCTGATAATTATTGCAGTGTTGCCAAGTCATTCAATGTTCCTTAATATTATGTAGTGTGAAAATAGTATATTGGTGAAGTGTTATTAATAATAATTATGAGTTATTGGAAACTGTTATGCATATTTTCTAATCATCATGAATGTTTGGAACTTTCTTGTGAAGATGAACAATTATCGAAAGAACAGGGTTATTTTTAAGATCTCCACTGACCCACCTTGAACAATTCATTATATTTTTATGATATTTATATTAAAAGTTGAATAGACATTCCCAATAAAAATAATTAAGAATTTATAGATTTTAATACATTTTGTTTTGCTGCAATTTGCAGAAGATAAGGAGAACGGTATGTAAGTTTGATAATTTCCCTGCATAACTTCCATCAAACTTAACACAAAATGATACCGAGAACTGACACTGTTACACAATACAGAATGACATAAAAAATAGTTTCGCCATAGCATTCTGTTAGAATATCTTCCTTTCATCTTCTACCAACTCAAAATCTATTATGCAAAAATTAAACCTACTATTTTACTATACAGGGTGGCATTTTGAAAATTTTCCACTCTCAATATCTTCCTTGCGGTGAATAATATGAGAAATCGAAAGAAGAGGTCGATTCCATTGCAAATGCAAATATACAGGGCATTCGATTTTTAAAAAATGATCCCGACCCTCTAGATCATTTTCAGTGCGCCCTGTATATGCGGCAATGATTTCTAGTTATGGACCTTGTTATCTCATTCACATTCGTTTATGAATCAGGTTTCTAGCTATCATAAAACCCGAGCAATCGAGCTCCGACGCACTAATGCCCCACCCTGTATATTGGTGAATTCAGTAACACTGTTCTGCGGGAAATCAACCAAGGAATGAATATATTAAAATTTTCTATTATTTACTGAAAGGGAGATATTGAGGTTGGAAAGTTTTCGAAATGTTACCCTGTATGAATAAGGGATATACAGGGGCATACCCCTCTACTGGTCGTTTCTTACAGTTTTCATTTATCAAGAAGCCTTCCTGACTACCTACAGAACGTTCATATCGCCCAAAGAGCTTATCATGAAACTGATAAGAAGGTACAATCATTTCTACTATGTGTCCGATAAGAAGCCGAGGTCTAGAGAGGCTTTCGCATTGATCGTACGAGTCGTCAGCGACCTTACGTGAGTACCTGAATTTTTCATAGGCAGTGAATTAGTACTTAAATAAAATGAAGAGATTTTGTATTTCAAAGTGTAGATTACTCAAGTTGGATTTATGCAGCATCATTCAACAATCATCAAGGGTCATTTATCATTTAAAAAGTAGCAATTAAAAGTTAAACTTAAGGCTGTCGAATCGCTAGCACCCAGTCTCTTCCAGATCAGAAAACATTATGAAATTCGAAATTTTAGCTCCTTATGTAAATTGTAAACAACGAATTTGTGAGATTATTGCTTTGATAGCCAGATTTAGGGCATGCGCGCTTGCGTACTATCAATCCATCAATTCTTAATTTGGTTTGCATAAATGTCAATATTCTCATCACTTGTTAATTGATAATTGTTTATTGATATAAATGTTGCTTCATAATTGTTAAATGTTGCTGCATAAATCCACCTTAAAAATGTATGCGCATAATTTGATTTCATGATTAAAACAGAGACTGTGAATAAGACTAAGACAATCATGCATAAATAGGCTAAATCTTCAAATACCACGATTTTTCCTAAATATTTCAAAACTGGATAATCATCATCAAATATCCCTAAGTACGTTGGACTTGGACGAGGAGCTGCAACTGAAGCTGATGAACTTCGTGCAGCAGCTGATCAGCTGCGGCGAGCTGACGCTGGCCAAGGCGTTAAGGGTGAAACACCTGCAGCGGCACGAGGCCAAGCAGGGATCCTTGAGGCACCCTGTCACATCGACGGGTGTTCCTCCGAATTGCAGCGGCAGCAGAAATGCCACCAGCTTGTTGGAGTTCAAGTCTGAGCAGATCGCCGAGCAGATGACGTTGCTGGATGCTGAGCTGTTTATGAAGATCGAGATTCCCGAGGTGTTGATGTGGGCACAAGAACAAAACGAGGAGAGAAGTCCGAATTTGACGAGGTTTACGGAGCACTTCAACAAGATGTCGTATTGGTGAGTAGTAGAAACCTGATTTGCAGTTTTTTTGATGGAAATAAACATATAGATCATTTGAGAAACAAACTTTATCCCATCACAGGCATTTTATTCAAAATACGAAATATTATTTCTACTAGATACTTGAAGAGTATTTATTTCTCTCCTATTTACTTAAAATGTCATTACCTAATATCTATATGGGGAAGTATGTACCAATATTTCACGTTTGAGTCCACTGATGAAATTACAAAATAAAACATTGAAGTGTATTTTCAATTCAAATTTTCTTGAACCAACCATGAATTTATACAAACCCAGAGATTTATTAGATCTGACATCACTATACAAACTTGAAATATGTTGTTTCATTCAATTTATCCTATATAAATTGAAAATTTCAGTGAGTGATTTTATTCAAACATAGAAATAAACTAGATATACGACATTGGTCCTTCGAGCCGGATGGATGACTTGAATGAACTGTGTGTTCATTCAAAATCCTACTGTTCTCGACAATAGGGATATGAGAGTTGATAAAAATACCTAAAAAAAGATGGATCAGACTATCCATATCATTTTTCGTAGGGCGAGAACGAGAATTTTGACGGCAGAAGGAAGGGACGCACGTGAAAAGTACTTCTCCAAGTTCATCAAGATAATGAAGCACCTGCGTAAAATCAACAACTTCAATTCGTACTTGGCCCTTTTGTCGGCGCTTGATTCGGCGCCGGTGCGTCGATTGGAGTGGCAGAAACAGGTGCAGGAAGGGCTTAAGGACTATTGCGCCCTCATAGACAGTTCGTCCAGTTTTAGGGCGTACCGTATGGCGCTGGCTGAAACGCAACCGCCCTGTATACCATACATGTGAGTATCGAAAAAATAAGCGTCCCTGTATGTGGAATGTATTTTGGCATGCCGGTATTTTTTTTGACAACTTCCGAAAAAAAAACTAATACACATTGCCAATGGCGTCGGAAGTTTTTTAAATATTTAATGATTTTTGACATTTTGAAGCATTTATTGACATAATTTGGGTGAGAACTTTATTTCAAACTTCCAAAGATATTTCTGAAGCATTTATGAACCTGTTTGGACATTTAATAGATCTATTTTAAGCACTTATTTTGAATTCAGAAAGCAAATTTGGATCGTTTTCGGCATTCTGAGAAGCTCATTTGAAGCAACTGTGGTCATATTTTTGTCTACAAAAATAAAATTTCAATCATTTGAAGCATTCATAGTAACCATTTGAAGCATTTATGGACATGTTCGAACCTTTGAGAAGTCCACATCAAGCATATCATATACAGTGATATTTTGGCATTGAAATAATCAATTTGTGTTTCTAACATTTTAGACATCTAGCATCGAATTTGAAGCATTTATAGAGTCATATCAAGTATATTTGAAGCTTTATTGAAATTTCAAGGCAAGATAGTGCCATTTTAAAGCGTTTTATAGTTATAGATATGATTGACCTTTTGAAAAATCCATATGAAATATTAACAGTCATATTTTGGTAATGAAAATATCAATTTGAAACATTTATGGTCATATTTGAAGCATTTATGAAGTACATTTGGAGCATTATTGAAAATTTGACGCGAGAGAAAGCCGTTTTCAAGCATTTGAAAATTTTTTATGAAGAATTAACAGTCATATTTTGGTATTGAAAAGATCGATTTGAACTATGATTTGAAGCATTTATAGTCCATATGTAGTACATTTGAAGCATTATTGAATATTTAAGGCAAGAGAAAGCCACTTTGAAGTGTTTATAGATATGTTTGACCACTTGAAAAATCCATATGAAGAATTAACAGTCATATTTTGTTATTGAAAAGACTAATTTTGAAACATTTATGGTCATATTTGGGTAATAAAGAAATCAATTTGGAGTGTTATTGACATTTTGGACATTCAAGAGTTAATTTGAAGCATTTGTGGAGTACATTTGAAGCATTATTGAAAATTTGACGTAAGAGAAAGCCACTTTATAGTGTCAAAGATAAGTTTGAACATTTGAAAAATCTATATGAAAAATTGACAGTCATATTTTGGTATTGGAAAGATCGATTTGAACTATGATTTGAAGCATTTATAGTCATATGCAGTACATTCGAAGCATTATTGAATGTTTAAGGCAAGAGAAAGCCACTTTGAAGTGTTTATAGATATGTTTGACCACTTGGAAAATCCATATGAAGAATTAACAGTCATATTTTGGTAATGAAAGATCAATTTGGAGTGTTATAGACATTTTGGACATTCAAGAGTTTATTTGAAGCATTTGTGGAGTACATTTGAAGCATTATTGAAAATTTGACGCAAGAGAAAGCCATTTTGAAGCGTTTATAGTGTCAAAGATAATTATGTTTGACCCTTTGAAAAATCTATATGAAGAATTAACAGTCATATTTTGGTATTGAAAAGATCGATTTGAACAATGATTTGAAGCATTTATGCTCATATTTGGGTATCAAAAAAAATCAATATGGAGTGTTGATGACAATTTGGACATTCAAGAGCTGATCGTCGAGTAAAATGTTATAATTTTTTCTTAATTTCTAATGATTCAAAATGATTTGAGTTTTATTCATTTATTTTCTACGTGTAGAATTTCGAAATTTCGAAAAATCAAAATTCTTCTAATGTATGGTTGGCGTATGTTGAATTTGTTTTCTTTTTCAAAAAATTCATCTCATGTTCATGAAAGCGCTGATTAAACGTACGACTTGTCTGACCGATATATACCTTAGGACAAAATCCACAGTTGAGCTTGAATACCCCTGATTTTTAGGAATCTAGAAGTTTTGTCTTCATTATTTTTGTTCTGTATGCTACTTTTAGGTCCTGTTTATGTATATTTTTTTCAAAAGATCACTTTGAAACGTTTTAGAACGCAATATTTTCTTCTGTCTGCAGTGGTTTGATATTACAAGACTTGACGTTTGTCCACATCGGAAACACTGATCTACTGTCAGAGGGCAATATCAACTTTTCAAAGAGATGGCAGCAATTCAACATTCTCGAAAACATGAAGAAGTTCAAAAAAGAGTAAGTCAACGTTTTCCTTGTTCCTCGATAACGGGACAATCAAATTCTTGGTATATTTCAGGACGTACACCTTCAAGAAACAAGAGAGGATCATAAGTTTCTTCGATAATTTCAGCGATTTCATCGGGGAGGAAGACATGTGGAAACTTTCAGAGACCATCAAACCGCGTGGTAAGAAAACTCCACATTGATTCGAGACTTCTGGAATTTTCTTCTTGGTTTCGATGATTTCAACTTTGTCAAGGGTTAAAAAATTCGGGAATTATATCCTCGTGATTAGGAAATGAGATTAATTTATTCGTTTTGTACCGGTGAAGCCAAAAGTATTTCGGTTGATTCTGCATTCATCGGTATTTTTTCTATCCATTTTTTTGCTTCTTGTGCAGTAAAAGTGCCAATTCACTGCCTAGGAAGTGGAAAATGTAGCGAAACTGTGTAATTCTTCAGACCAACTGTGATAGATGAAGGAGAAATGTCGGGTTAGAAAAAGTCGTGAAAAATACCCGAGAAATTAAATACGAATATTGAGATCTCCATTGGGGAAGTTTCCTTCACATGAATTTTCATAAAATAAGTTCGGAACTCTCCAGTTTTATGTCCACGCTGTACAGAATAGCGAGCGATAAAGTCCAAGTCGTTTTCATTTTCAAATTAAAGCAATTTCTAATTTTCGGAGCGGCAAACTGTGACGTACATTCTGAATCTAGTCTGAAAATAGCTGATGGTGAAAAATATATCTAGCGAATAGCTAATGAATGAAAAACGAATGAAAAAAATAGAAGAAGAAGTAAAACTGGTAAATACATAACCACAAATGCACTCGGAGCAGGAATGCAGAAGGTAGTTGGCTTCATTCTGACAGGGTATAGTTTTGTTATTTATGCATTGAAATATCTCGAATAGAGCTCGATCCTGAACGAAAATATCATTGAATCAATGAATCAATATCGACTACATTCAATTATACTATCCTTCCTTATTTACTGGCATCGGTCAGAACAGAATGAAGCCGACACCCATGGCTCCTTCCTCTTGTTGTGCCTGTCAGTAATTTGAGTGGTGTGGACGGACTCGAAGTATTAGGCGCTGTTGCTAGATATAATCTGCAACTTTCCTAGAAAATAAATCCGTTTTATCATGGAACGAATTTATTAGCAAAAAAATTACCGACAAATTATGAATAACATAGTGTTATGCAAAGATAGTGAAATATTATAGATACTACCGCAAAATATTATAGTTCATCTTTATTAGTCATTAACTTCATTCGGCCAATAGGAGATTGATGGGAATTATTCATAATACTTGACAAAGTAGGATTGAATAACCTATTATTGCTGTTATGATATAGTTATTATGCATTCAAAGAACAATTTCCGGAAATCTATATAGACTTATTTAATTATTTATGATGTCGGCAACGTCAGTAAATGAGATATACCGATTCTAGACATTTTTTCAAAATTCAAAGTCCTTTTTCCCCAGATTCTACGGAAATTACACGATGCACAGCGGAAAGCCCCATAAGAGCCCATGTAAAGCAAATCTGTTCTTTCCCCAGATCTACGGACTTTTTCTGACATCGATGTGTTATTACGGTTCTTATCAGACTTATCAGCAGCCTTCTGATAGCTCGCTCGTCGGAGCCGGTTGAAATTGAAAGAGTAAAAAATGACCAGAATGGACCTTGAAATTCGCGAAAAGTCCGTAGATCTGGGGAAAAAACTAATCTGCTTTACATGGGCTTTCCGCTGTGCATCGTGTAATTTCCGTAGAATCTGGGGAAAAAATGTCTAGAATCGGTATAGCTCATTTACTAACGTCGTACTGGCACAGAAAATCGTATTCTAACTCTGTGTGAATGTGTATTTTCAGAAGGTACGTCATAGGAATGGTGGAGGAGCCAAGTTCCTCTTTTATTTATTGTTTTCTGAAGTGAAATTTGAACCTATGACAAAAAGAAAAAATACGTATATATTATTTTTTTACAAACTTCATAGTGAGATAAAAACCTGAATAAAGGAAACTTCCCCTTTAGTATTATACCGGTGTAGTCAAAAATAGCTCGCCTAATTTCGCACCTACCGGTATTTTTTATGAAATTTTTTTATCATAACTTTGAAATTTAATTGGTTAAGTAACAAAACCATTTGATCTTCTTAAGTAAAATAGTCATCCACATAATTTTCACTAATTTTTGAAATATTTTGGATGAATCGTGGTATTCTAACCTAAAATTTTGATATTATATTGGTTACTACCTATGCAGTGAAGACGCTAATCTACTGTCTGTTCAGTAAAAGTGATAATTCACTGCATTTGCAGTAAAAGTGCTAGTTTATTCATTATTCCAGATTTTTTAGGATTTTCTCTCCTCGTCTCTATACAGGGTGTCTCTTAACAAAAACATCCCACATATTCCTTAGACCAAAATAAGTCGATTTAAGTAAAATTACCTCGGTACAAAGTTGCATCGTTTGGGCTCCAGAGGGCCTTGAAGTTACAATTTTTAAATCGTTTTTCCCATATAAATTTGAAACGGCATATTCGATTTTGCTGAAATTTGGTATATTGATAGAGTTTTATGTGGCAAAAAAATTGGTGTTGAAATTTTGTCCGATAATAATACATAGGCGTAGAACTTGATTTTTTAAATAATTGCACCTTTAAAAATTCTACGCGAATGGAAGAAAAGGAGTTTGAGTATGAAATTTAGATTGCGCAACTCATTTACTTTTAAAAAAAGGACTCTTGATAAGACTCGATTGCTCTCATGGTTTTGACGAAATTTGAATTTTAGTAATTTTAGAACATAAAAAATAATTATTAAAATACAAACTTTGTCAAAACCATGAGAGTAAATCGAGTGTTATCAGGGGTACTTTCTTGTAGTGAATGAGTACCCAATCCAAATTTCATACTCAAACCCCTTTTTTGCCATTGGCTTAGAATTGCAATTATTTAATAATCAAGTGACATTTTGGGGCAAATCATCTAATTTGTCCTAACTACACGTATATTGAAATAGTATTCATATTTTTTTTATATAGGGACGAGAAAAAATTCCAAAAAATCTGGAATAATGAGTGTACCACCTCGATTAACCTACAGACAGTATTTGCTAATTTATTGCCTATGCAGTAAAAGTACTAATTCACTGCCTATGCAGTAGAAAAATCATCAAGAAATTCTTAATTTTTTTAGACCAAACGTGATGGATAGAAAAGAAATTTTAGATTCAGGTGGAAGGTGATGAAATAACGTTTGTAATATTGGTAGGTCCTAAAAAATTCTGAAAAAATACCGAAAGAATGAAGAATGCAGAATTGCCGTGTTTTGAATTTGTCCAAATGAATTGTAGTATTCACGTCATCATTTGGGATTCTATATGTAGACTTTGTAGACAATGAAATTGGCATCGAAATTTATCATCTATTATAATGACTGTGGTATTTACAAGGTTCGATGTTTTCTTTGAATGTTTGATAGGATATTAATGAAAGAACGTTATTTTTTATGTGAAGAATTTTTTTCTATGGAAAACTTTTGGGCTTTTAAATTTTTTGAAAGAAGGAAATGCTTTATGGCTGATTTTGTTCGCCATTTTATAAGAAAAATAACAATTCTTCCTTGGCCAATATTGAGGTTGATGTAGATTTAGTCGATTTTTTTCTAGCTCTAGCTAGAAAATTATCCCAGCGAGCACAAAAACATCTCAGAGATGTTAAAAGTACGAGATTTCGAGACATTGAACCTCCACTGCGATGTTCTGTTCACACATGAATAGAACTATTATAGAACAACCAATGTCCGCCGCATGCGGCAATTATCGAGATGTCCTTGATATGTCACAAAACTACCTTCTCCCTAGTTCTTTTTAAAGCCTTTTCATGGACACAACAAAACATTTTTAACGCGTCTTGCGCACATTAAATCGCTGTAAAAAACCATTTTCGAGGTACTTTTCTGTAGCCTTTTGTCAAAATGAACTTTTGCATTAGGATTCCATTTCCCTTGAATGAAAAAATGCATTAAAAATAGATTGAACATAAAAATATTTTCTTGATATGAAATTACCTTCTTAATCGGTTTCTGAGTAGTGCTTACAACACACAGACATATAATTGGAAATAGGTTTCCCAATTTTTGAAATGTTCTCCACAATGCATAATTTTGCAACTGCGGAGAAGCTGTGTATTGATGAATTCGTACTTTTATATTTTGATTACACTGAGGCACCGAGCAACACATCTTGCATCTGATGATCATTATTACAAACTAAATAAGTCTTCTAACACAATAAACTCCACCAAATTCCTTTCTGTTCGTTAGCATCGTGATGTAAGCGTGACACGCTGCAAACGCGAATGCCAATTGCGAACAAGAAGAACAAAATCGAAAACAAATCAGAATTCATCGTATTGTGACGTAAGCATGAGACGTTGTGGTGGGGCAAACAAAGAAAGGGCACAAAAGAACAAAAACAATACTTTCAATATCCTTCCAAGGCCTCTTTGGGTAGTGCATACTACGCCTCAAAAAAACATCACTATGCCTAAATTTCTAAAACATCCCAAAACATCCCAGGGATACCTCTCAGTAGGCAAACAAAGAAATGCCACAGAAGAACAAAAACAATACTTCAATATCCTTCAAAGACCTCTTTGGTCAGTGCATATTACGTCTCAAAATAACATCTTCATGCCAACATTTTCAAAACATCCCAAAACATCCCAAGGATGTTTGTGCTCGCTGGGATGAGACGAATAGCTGTTTTGCTTTTTTCCGGTTTTACTGGATTCGTGTAATGAGACTGATTTTTTTCGATACATTTTCGAAAATTCATGGGAAACTGACAGAAAATCGATCATTTTCTTCAACTGTGAAATTTGTAAATGGAATAAATTCATGATCTCTCAAACCAAATATATTTCATACAAATGTTTGAATAAATAATTTCCAATTGTTGAAAACGCATATTTTTGAGGCTAACCCAATAAATACTGGGTGAACCGTAAATATTCAAATAAAAATAAAATTGTCGTTATCCTGTATATCATTCTATATTCGTTACCCATTTGAGATATTTCTAAATAATTTTACTGCAATATGGATCACGTGATATTCAGCAACACCTATAAAAATGAGGATTTTTGTTCCATTTTCAAAATTCACAGTGTTATTCAAATCGGGCGTTAGCATTACTAAAAATTAACTAATTAAATGTTTAGATAGGTGGTATAATAATGAAAAAAATACGAAATTTCGCGGATTTACGCGTGCTAGTTAATTCTTTAGAAGGCCTAATTACAATTTAAGCTAATAATATTAACCAAAAAAAGAAGCTAAATGTGTAGACTGCTCCTAAAAGGTTTTTTATTTTTCCCAATATTTTTCTAGATAAATTTAAACATGGTCCAGTTTTTAACATTTAACAAAATGTTTGCATAACAAGTTCAATCAGTATTATAAACTAAAAAGCGACATTTATTTATGTAATTTTACTAATATACAGTGCGTCCAAAAAGTCATGCATAAATTCAATTGAAATGCTGGCAACGGTTGTTTTAGAGAAAAAAACAGAAGCATGTCGGCTGATGTTCCAAATTCTGTATTCGTTGACGTATATACAGGGTGAACCGTTCTGAATGACACTCTATATGTTAATTATCCATTCAGTCTTAAGTATTTTTCATTGCCGGTATCTGGATTTGAAATTTTGCGAAATATTCAATTCGAACTGCATATTACGTCAAATTTGAAATGACAATAATTTCTGAATTGTTGAATTCAGGAGTTTTATGAAGAATTCAAAAGGAGGAAAAACATCGTCTTATCTTCCAAACTGTTCACTTTGTATATCTCTCAAACTGTTCATATGTATTTATGGAATGAGTTTTGAAAAGGCAGAATTTGAAAAATCAGTTGACATATCCCAGTGTTTTTTGAAGAACCTGTAGAAGCATTTCTAATGAACATTTTGTTATGGAATTTCAGGCAACCAAAGACTTTGTTAGATAAATTGATGAACAAATTTTCTATTGCTTAATAATGATATTAATGCCCTCATGTATAAACTAATATGGTCAATAATTCGATATGGAAGTAGATAGAGAAACGTTATCATTATCTTAGGTAGTTTTTTTCAGTGATCGTTAATGACAGATAACAGATTTACTGACTACTGGTAGTACTAGTTACCAGTAGAGGAAAATAATTTACTCGTTCATCAAATTCCTGTTTCATAGTAAATATTTCCAAATTGGCAACAACACTTTGGCCTATCAAGCACAGAGTGACAGAGACATTAAATAACAATAGACGAAATATCTTATGTCCTCGTCTTCAGGTTTCCAACGTAAATTTATGAAAAGTTGATGCTGGTAACACGAAAAATAAGAAGAAATCGAGAAGAAGACCTCTTTTTCTATTTTTTTCCAATTTTACGTAGGAATCCTGAAGATAGGAAGAGGAGCTAGGAAGAGGAGCTATCTTCCTGGATCCTTTTCAGTACTACCAACATATCTGAAGTATCAAAATATAGTTAGATCCTATGATTTCTTCCTTACCTACCATCTTGTTGGTGCCACTGAACCATTTTTGATATCCTATTATGTCATAAACAATGAATACAAATGACTGATTCATGACATATGACATCGAAAATTGTAAAGTAACACAGATTAGATGGTAGAGAAGGCAAGAATTAGCGGACCTCTCTATGTTGGTAGCGCTGAGAAGAAAGATGGAAAAGGAAAGAATATTCTTCTCTCTTGCTCTCCATAGAGAAAATATAGTTTTTTCGATTATTGTGATTTGGTCGCCACTACTGGTCTAAGTATCCAATAGTTATAGATTCAGTAACCGTCAATTGTCAACTGTATCGAATTTTCCAGCGATTTGTGTCATTTTATTCAATAGAAAACTTCTGCTGGTATTGGGAGAGGAAAAATAACGGAAAATTCCATGTTGTCAACACTAAAAACGACTAGAAATGGGGAGAACTATTTTATACTTTTTTATATGGAGGTTAAAATGGCAGTCTTCTCCATCTTCTCTCAATTTCAGTGTTGCCACCATAAAATGTTCATCATTTTACGTTGGAATCCCTGAAGATAAGGACAGGAGATATATTTTTTCTCTCAAAACTAGATGATTTTATCTATTGAATATATTGCTTCGTTTCCTTCGTCCCTGACTCACAAGAAATCTTACGAAATCATATTCCCTCACAGAAACATATCAGTATAAAAGACTTACACTGTGTTTCTAGACAAAAAAGCCAAGACACAAATTCCTGCAACCTTACTATATACCGACAGGGTGTCTAATATAAAAAAATGTTGAGAGACCCTGTATAGCGTTTTTATTTGCTGATCGCCTATTGTATCTTGCTTTGTGAAGTGAAAAGTTGCATTTTGCGCACATTTCTATATCTGTGATGTTATGTTAGGATTTATTTTAATTTAATTTGTCGTACGTGTTTTGTGGATAAGACCCAAGAACACTTGGGGAGAAATAAACGATTTATTCGATTATTGAGTTAGCGTTTCATAACTGCCATTAATAAAGTGAATTAAATTGGTTTCTCGAGTATAAAACAAATTGGAATATGCAGAACGAAAAATATTTCATAATTTTTACTAGATTTGTTCATTTTTTTCCTTGGTCTTGCGGTTTTCGAGAGAAACTAATTTATTTCACCCCGTATATCGAGGATTGTAATGATATCGAGAAGATGGTGTAAAGAGAGTCCCTTACTATCGATAAATGCTATGCAAAGTTCAGGATTCACATGATTTTTGTGTCAACTTATCGAAATGTACAAATTAATTTATTAGATTATGTGCGGACAATGTCTATACAGTATGTGTAAATTATTCTTTGTCGATCTTCAGTTCAGATACTACTTCATGAAAGCTTAAATAAATTTCTGGAAGTGAAATTCGAAAAATATATTAATATTTTTCGTGACTGAAAATTATTTTAGATAGAGATTAGATAATCTTTACAAACATCGTCTTAGTTGACACACAGAAAACGATCCCTCTGTACGCGTTTCTGTAAATTAACTCGTTGGTATATCATTCGATGTTCTGTTCTCGATATTTTCGATTCAACTACCTATGCTTTAACAGTATGTATGTAAGTGTGATATAGTATTCCTAAGTACCTAAATAAAATGTGTGATCATATACGTATTTTGGATTTTTGTTTGAAATAATTGAACCCCACTCCAACAAGAAATGGTTTATTATACAAGGTACTTTGATCATCAACAGATGGTGCTAAATATCTGCTGAAACAACATTTCTGAGATCCATAATCATATTTCGAAAGGCAGTAGAAAAAGTGTCATTTTTGTGAAGGTATATTCTGGGAAAGTACATGTAACTTCTGAGTCGTTGAAAAATGTTATTCGAGAGCTTTTGTGAAATGTCGAATTCCGCAGTAGCAACAGATCATACCTACAGGCCAATCCAACCCCTCTGAGAAAAGCTGCACCTTGCACTACCCCCTTCATCTCTCTAGGCCCCGCCTCCTTCGCAAAGGCTCCGCCTCCTCTGTGGAGCCACGCCTGTGTCGGTCAAACCTGCCCCAACACCTACCTGATCATCTCTGACCTCGTAGAACTTCATCTCCCCTTATGCCACGCCTCCCCGTTGGTCTAACCTGCCCAACACCTACAAAACCTCCCTTCTTATACGATATGCACTACTCGAGGCTAAAAGCCGTTTCAGCTTCCCGTTTGAGACCTATCACTCTAGGCCCCGCCCTCTTCAAGAAGCTCCGCCTCTTCGGTAAGGCCACATCCCTGTCGGTCTAACCTGCCCGAATATCTACTTGATCATCTCTACACATTTCCTACCACTTTGGACGAATATCACTACTCACTAAACCTCCCTCCCCATACGATCTCTACCACTCGAGGCCAAAATCCGCTCCTTCTTCTCATTTGTGAGGCTTGCTAACACCTGCTAAATCTTTCCTATACGATCTGCACAACTCGAGGCTTAACGCCGCTGCTGCTTCTCGTTTGAAACCTATCTCTCTGGGCCCCGCCTCCTTCGTAAAGCTCCGCCTCTTCTGCAAGTCCACACTCCTGTCGGTCAAACCTGACCCAACACCTACCTGATCATCTCCATACACAATTCGGACCACTCGGAACGAATACAGCTCCTGTTTCTCTGACCTTGTAAGACTCCATTTTCCCTTAGGCCACGCCCCCAGTTGGTCAAACCTGCCCAACACCTACTAAATCTTTCCTATACGATCTGCAGCACTTGAGGCTTAACGCCGCTGCTGCTCCTCCTCGTTTGAAACCTATCTCTCTAGGCCCCGCCTCCTTCGTAAAGCTCCGCCTCTTCTGTAAGTCCACACTCCTGTCGGTCAAACCTGACCCAACACCTACCTGATCATCTCCATACACAATTCGGACCACTCGGAACGAATACAGCTCCTGTTTCTCTGAACTTGTAAGACTTGATCTTCCCTTAGGCCACGCCCCTAGTTGGTCAAACTTGCCTAAAACCTACTAAATCGTCCCTATACGATGTGCACCACTCGAGACTAAACGCCGCTGCTGCTTCTCGTTTGAAACCTATCTCTCTAGGCCCCGCCTACTTTTGAAAGCTCCACCTCTTCTGTGCTCCGCCTACTTCCTAAAGCTCCGCCTCTTCTTCAAGTCCACACTCCTGTCGGTCAAACCTGCCCCAAAACCTACCTGATTATCTCCATACACAATTCGGACCACTCGGAACCTATACAGCTCCTATTTCTCTGAACTTGTAAGACTCCATGTTCCCTTAGGCCACGCTCCCAGTTGGTCAAACTTGCCTAAAACCTAAATCTTCCCTATACGATGTGCACCACTCGAGACTAAACGCCGCTGCTGCTTCTCGTTTGAAACATATCTCTCTAGGCCCCGCCTACTTCTGATAGCTCCGCCTCTTCTGTGCCCCGCCTACTTCTTAAAGCTCCGCCTCTTCTGTAAGTCCACACTCCTGTCGGTCAAACCTGCTCCAACACCTACCTGATCATTTCATCTCCATACACAATTTGGACCACTCGGAACCTATACAGCTCCTGTTTCTCTGACCTTGTAAGACTCTTTCCCTTAGGCCACGCCCACAGTTGGTCAAACTTGCCTAAAACCTACTAAACCATGCTGCCTATGAGATCTGCACTACCAGATGCTAAACGCTGCGATTGTATTTTGATACTGTTATGGAAGGGACATTGTAAACTATGTCTTGGACGACTCAAAAGTTACAGGGGGTGTCCCGATTCCCGAGACCACGTGGTACAAATACGCGTATAAACATTGTTGCCGTCTAAGCAGGAGTTTGCAATTTTTTGAACACGTTGTGTATTTTACATTTGGTATTGTTGCCGTAGATTTCTGTCAGTTGGTATTGGATGTCTCTCAGTATTTGATTGTTCTTGTGCTGCTCTTCACTATGTTTCAAGTTTTGCACCTTTTTCTTCTTCACTCCGGGTTTGTGGATCAAAAAGGCGTTGTCTAGTACTACGAAATCGTAGTCCAACATACAAAGATAGTACGCCTGAAAATGTAACTTTTGTCTCAATTGGGTTGACCATACAGGGTGATTCATTGGGAAATGCGCATACAGGAAGCAATGCTATTGTCTCCGTTCAGAAGAATGCAAGCGAATTCCTTGATTTTTCTCTTTTGATTGTTATCTTTCTTTCCTATGATTTTAATATTATTCCACTCTGCCATATGTTGTCCATTTTCAGTAAGGATATGTTCAGTTAGCTTTGATTTATCGATATGTCTTCTAAGTGAAAACAGTGTTCAAAATTGAAAATACAATGAGATCCATTCTAACTCAAACAAAACCGAAAAATGAAGAACAATCATCAAATAATTGTACACATAGTATATCTTGTGTTTGTGGAAAGTATTATACAGGTGAAACGAAGAAACCTCTCTCAGTAAGGATCAATGAACACAAGTAGAATATCAAGAAAATACATATCAATAAATCAAAGCTAACTGAACATATATCTTTACTGAAAATGGACAACATTCGGCAGAGTGGAATAATATTAAAATCATAGGAAAGGAAGATAACAACCAAAAGAGAAAAATCAAGGAATCCGCTTGCATTCTTCTGAACGGAGACAATGGCATTGCTTCCTGTTCAGTTGATATAGATAGAACATGGTATTTTCTACTTAAAATTGAACATGAAAATGGTAGATTCAAGATTAATTGATGAAAATATCACATCATCACAAAACATTTTCTAAGAAAAATATTTTGCATTTTTATGTTGAGAACGGGAGCAGATTCGACTCCGAAACTTCCAAAGATAAGTAAAAATTCGATATTTTTCGATATTCCTTCTTTTCAAACATTTTTTCACCAAGTTCGCTAAAAATTTGACAACATGGGGTCGAAGTTGTAGAGAATTTGATTTTGATTCAGACGTTGCTTTGAATTTGAATTACGCACACTTCAGTGCTGAGATATAAATTTTAAACAAAAAAGATCGTAGAGTCTAATTTCCGCTAAGGCAGTCATAACCCGATCTTTTTCGACGATTCGTTCCACTGAGATTGCGATTGAAATCTAATGGAACGATTTTTATTATACAGGTTGTCCCGTAAACACCACGTCAAACCTAGGGAGAATGTAGATCAAAGGAAAATTCACCTCCATGACAAAATTCCCATTAAAAAAGTCTCAACGTTTTTGTTGAGAATATCCACTACCAAAGTCTTGAAAAAAATATTCCTCACAGCCCCCCTTTAAAATGGTCGGAGAATGTTTTGAATGTATACGTTAAAATCATTCTTCAGCAATATTTACTGAAAAAATGAACCAAAAAGGTGTCAAATTGTACCAACCGTGTAGACAAAACTATTGAAAGGGGCAAAAATTCAATATTTTCATATGTAATACCACCAAGTGATAATATTTTGCCGGAAATATTCGGTGATTGTTACGACAGCTTGTTGCCTAGTAATGGGGAAGACCACTGAGAGAAGAAATCCGTGCAAACCTCTTTCAATCGACGAATCATGATTTACGTTTGATGTACAATCAATATTATGAGTTAAAGTTGAAGGGAATCGAATCTATATCGTTTTGAAATCAGCATATTTCATTCGATATTTCAAACAGCCAAATATGATGGTGGAGTCATGACGTATTAGTCCCGAACTGTAGCTATCTCTCTCGGATACCTCGTCATTCTGCAGTGTTGCAGTGTGATTGGTCAGTTCAAGGACAATAGGCGTGTTGGGAATAAGACGTCGCACCAGTCACACCAATGAATTGACAAAATTTTAAATGGCGCAGGAATTTTGTGTTTTGAAATGGACATATTTTAATTTATTTTTTCCATCGTCTTAGCATGAATGACAAAATTCAAAATTAATTCGCCGGTAGTTTTTCAGTATATAGTTCACGATAATGTCATTTTAAAAAATCAGTGGTCTCCCCCATTTCGTGAATGACATTGTTATGGATATTATGGAGTTTTGGATCAATGTCATGAGTGAAATTAGAGCAGCTAGCTGGAGTATGTCAATCGACGAATATTTCCAGGAAAAATAGTATCACGAGTTGTATTCGTATGACTATTTCATGATTGAATGAGACAATATATATAAGAAATAGGAAACGTAATTTAAGTATATTCCAACTCGAACTGCGAAGAAGAACATAATGATAGTAATGAAATACAGAATTCACTTTTTTAGAAATTAACTACCTACTTATAATTATTCACAAAGTGGAATGTACAATTTTGATAAACAGTATTTTTTTATTATCTTGGAGATGGTTGCTCTCAAAAGAGTGTATACAATTGCTATCCAATTCAAACAAAATGAATTGAATTCATGCGACATGAAATAATTAAAAAAAAAAGATATCGTCGCCGAGGGGCTCGAACCATCGACCTACTTATCTCTGCATCGACCTTCGTATCTTCGCGCAACAACCCTATCAGTTGCGCTACATCATCTGGTAACTATATTAGTCATAATAACTTGAGTGATTGAAGAAGATTATTTTAAAAAGGGATTTGAATTCTAGTATTGTTGTGTCAGACCGTCAACAAATATACAAACTTTTTAAATTACACATGAAACGTCCAGCCAGAATAAAATTGTCTCGCCTTCCGTACAAAATGACTCACTAACGCGAATTATGAGTAAATAAAATAAAGTAGGTTAGGTTATTGTCTCAAATTTGAATCCAAAGCAATCTTGACCAGACACGATATGTCAAAATTTTATCGCTGATAAACGAGGTTTGTTGGTCACGTGTGGGTCAATTCGGCTTCTGTATTGGTAGAACAAGTCCGATAAAATTTAATAAACAAAAAATATCGCTAGACTACAGAAGAAACCATGAAAATGGTCGATTCTGATTGGTTCTAGAGATCAAGAGTGGAATAGTCATAAAAATAAATATCTCGAAAATGAGAGAAACAGACCTGACACATTTTGTTTCCTTGCCCCTCCCAATTGAGCCTTTCGTCCCAAAGCGGTTCCTTTTGGGTTTCAATGAAAAACGGTTCCCAAATCACTTGCTTTCCTTGCCTTTTTCCTATTGTGAAAACGTCCAAACCGTTTTTGTTGGTATCGTTAATCCACTCTTCTTCTCGGGGCATTCTGTGGCAGGATCTACAAACGGTTTGATGGAATGCTATGGCAGTTTGGTTGTCAATCATCTTCTTCAGGTCGCTTTTATTTTCTGGGATCTGGGAACAACCAATGAAAAATCTAATTGGATTTTAAATAAACAGCCATACAATCAATGGTGCTTTTCTTCCAAAAAAATAAAAATTTTCGCCTGGTATATACAGTCTGTCCAAGATAAGGTTGCATGGTAACTAACCACTCCACTTGAGAGATACGATGGATTTCTACCACATTTTTATCATAATAAATGTTTAATACTCGCATCTATACTATTTTTTTTTAATTCAAGAGACATTATTCTTAATTCAAGAGACATTATTCTTTAACTGCTACATCTCAGCCAAAAATCTGAAAGTCAATCAAATATACCATCCGGCATCAGCAAATGCAAAATAGCAGAACGTATATTCAAATCAACCAGCATTCCAAAATTTCATTCTGAGGATTTCAAAAATTGAAGGGGTAGGTAGCCTGGTTTTCGTATCCACTCGGTATATTGCGAATTCAATAAGAGTAAAGCCTTGAGAAACTCCTGATTATCAGAATATGTGCGTACCAAGTTGTCCGAACAATAAAAAACGACACTAATGCTTATTTCTATTTGCCATGAACAGATAAGGCGTAAACCTCCAAAAATATATTTTATAGGAAGCTTAAAATACCACTTAATCGTCAAGTTCAACAATCATATTACGATTATTATCTGTGTATAAGTTTGTGTTTAATTTGGGATTATAATGTTTTCTTTTCCAGTATCAACAGAACTACTCGCAAAAATTTTCCAAAACAAAACCGACTCTTAAATCAATCATTTAAATCATTTCCATGTAAATGACAGTAGAGAAACAATAAATTTGCTGGCTGATGCCACGCAATTACATCCTCCTGAAACAGGGTTGGCACGAATCAATTCATATGAATCAAGTCAGTTTTTTTTATGTTCTGGTTCCCACGAAAAAGGATATCCTGTAATGTTCAGAGAACATCGTGAGAACTAAGGAAAATGAGGTAGGAATTGGTGTTCATCTTGAATTTCTGGAGGTTATTTGCCTCGGGGGAACACCTTCCTTGGCAATGTGTTCCACAGCCTCGCTGTTCGTTGGATGAACGAGTCTTTGGAAAGAGATGTTCTGCAGGTCTCCAAAGTGACCACGAAGGGGTGCGAAGCCTCAACTCGACGGGTAAATCTCGCGGAAACTGCCAAGGGAGGAACGATTGTTGATATCAGAAGAGCATCGTCCATGAAAATCTCTATAAAATAGAGCCAGATCGCCAACTTTTCTACGGTGTCCCAGAGAAGTGAGTGAGTTTGGTATCGAGGCATCACCCACGAGACGAATTGCCCCTTTTTTGGACAGACTCCAACAGTTTCAGGGTATGTTTGGGTGCTGCACTCCAAATATGAGAACAGTATTCCAGGACAGGTCGGATCTGTGCCTTATAGATCATAAGCAGCTGACTGGAAGTGATTGATCTCACGTGATTTTCCCAAGAAAGGTTATTGCTGATAGTAATACCAAGTATCGAAATGGATGTCTTCAAAGGTATGGTTTGTCCTGACATGCTTGGAAAGGCATGCTTTGAGTTACCATGGATTTCTTCCAATGATCTATTCATTCTATATTCCATTCCACTCTGACCATTTTGGCATTTTTGTAGTTGAAAATAGGGATTCCCTATCGTGCGCTCCATAAGATAAAAAAACTGTTATTTTCCTGAACTTACCTTCAGTCCTGCAAGAATCTCGAATACAGGCAGTACAAAGACATTCCTCGAATTTTTCCGAAAAAACTCCCCACGTTGGGCGGCAAATTTGAAAAAATCCGGGATCAGATTCCTCGTGGGGTAGAGCTCTATGTCAGAGGGAAAGACTAGGTAGGTTTGGGCAGTGAGTTTTGCCACGTTTCTGGCCACGTTAATGGGGTAGGTGAGATTCATTCGGGTCTTGTACATCTCGTCGTCTTGCATGGTCTCGTACGGTGGTTTTTGGGAGCAATCGTATGTGTCTTCATAGATGTCCACTAGAGGTTCATCGTGCTGAAAAACATGAAAAACAATGTATGTTTCAATGTCGGATGAAGACTTCATGTTGGCTGAGAAGAAATGGAGAAGAAGAAGACCATTCCAGCAATTTTTTCATTAACACGCTTTTTTTTGTGTATATCATGAAGAATGGCTGAAACAATAACTGGACTTCAGGTTACTGATGAGGATTTGATATCCGAAATGAATTTATTCGAGTGAAGTCATATAACCTGTTTCTGAGAGATACAGGGTGAGTCATGAGGAACTGTACATGCTCCTACTACGAATAGAGGCAGCTGAGGGGAATACCAAATGACCATCAGAAAGTGTCTCCGCCTCTTCTAAAATGATCTATAGGGTGATTTATGGGATATGGCCAAAACTTCTGTCAATCATAACTTTCCAACAGTTCTTTCGATTCCTTTCATTTTTTCTTGGATCATTATACTGTCACTCAGCAATCAACTGACGTATTCAGAATCGTGAAAATCCAGGACCGGTCTTGAGAAATTCTGCCAATTTGGTTCATATAAAAAATTTCACTCTGTATGAGGTTTTAGTAAACTGTGATATGGAATTTCTAAAGTTGATGAACAGGCAACCAAAATGAAGTATTTCAAATTTTCCTCACAATTTCATTGAATTTCTTAGAAAATGATTAATTTAAACTACACACGAAACTTGGGCAACAAATGTATTAATTTCAAAATTAATACTTCGCAATGCATGAATTTCACGAATAAAAGTAAGGGTAAAATTATTCCTGATTCTTGTTTGTCAACTCCGAACATTTCATGTCACAGTTTATTAAAATCATATACAGAGTGCAATTTTTGGTGATTATTACCATGTACCAAAAATTTACTGAATCCAACCCTGGATATAGATGAATGTTGATTTTCAGTGAACTGAAGAATAGGAAATGATGTTATTCTTGCTTCTATTCGTGAAATTCTAGGGGTGCGAAGTATTCATTTTCAAATTAATACATTTGTTGCGAAAGTTTCACGTGTAGTGAAAATTGATCGTACTCTAAGAAATTCTGTGAAACTCTGAGGAAAATTTGAAATATCTAATTTTGGTTGCCAGTTCATCAACTTTGACAATTCCATATCACAGGTTACTAAAACCATATACAGGGTGTAATTTTTGGTGATTATTACTCTCTACTAAAAAATTACTGAATCCAACCCTGGAAATAGAAGAATGTTGATTATTGTTGAGCTGAAGAATTGAGAATGATATTATCCCTACTTTCATTCGTGAAATTCATGCGTTGCGAAGTATTAATTTTCAAATTAATACATTTATTGCCCAAGTTTCGTGTGTAGTTTAAATTAATCATTTTTTAAGAAATTCAATGAAATTGTGAGGAAAATTTGAAATACCTCATTTTAGTTGCCTGTTCATCAACTTCAGAAATTCCATATCACAGTTTACTAAAACCTCATACAGGGTGAAATTTTTTATATGGACCAAATTGGCAGAATTTCTCAAGACCGGTCCTGGATTTTCACGATTCTGAATACGTCAGTTGATTGCTGAGTGACAGCATGATAATCCATGAAAAAATGAAAGAAATCGAAAGAACTGTTGGAAAGTTATGATTGAAAGAAGTTTTTGCCATATCTCATTAATCACCCTATAGATTATTTTAGAAGAGGCGGAGACACTTTCTGATGGTCATTTGGTATTCCCCTCAGCTGCCTCTATTCGTAGTTGGAGCATGTACAGTTCCTCATGACTCACCCTGTATAATTATATCTGAGAATATTCCTTTTCAATACGCTTATATTAGTTTGGTATGTATGTTCGAACGTCATTTTGACCATCTCCAGAACGTCGAATTGCATCAAAATATCATTATCTCGATCAGGATCTTCAGAATGAGCAATTTTTCTTCTCGAATAAAATGATGAATGCCGTTCCGCCACCAAAATTTCAAAATGTTCCTTTACCAAAATTTCAAATGTTCGTTTTCATTTCTTCGAACAACTTTACAATGCTTTTTATATTCAGAGACACGGCAGTGTCCCACACCAAGTACTTGTATGAATAGTTACAGTCAGAGAAACGCGTGATTTTAACCCACTTCAAAACATCGGATTAAAGTGAAACTTAGTCAGTCATTCACCCAGATAACAGGAACGTCCCGAAAACGTCCTCAATCCGTACACCTTGGACATTGGAAACGTCCCCAGAACGTCCATTTCAGGTACGGCGTATGTTTTTTTAGCACGTTTTGGGGACATACGATGTTACAAAACCGGAGGTCCCCAGGAAGTACGATCAAGATCCTGTTCAGGTCTGAACGGGACCATGAATACCTGAATCAACGTAGATCCGCCTTTTCAATCAGATAGTTGAAAAAGAGACCTAGACAGGGTAAAAAAAAATCTTATTTTGAATAAAAAAATAAAAAAAAAATGCTCCTACCGGGGATCGATCCCACGACCTTTATTACTCTACAGAAAACTTGATCATATATATCAATATACAACAAGACATTTTGCGCGAATGTCGATTGGCCCTTCACATCGATACTTGCATAGAACTAGATGATCATGCACGGCAGAGAATACCTAAATAGATGTTTTGTGATCAGGTACAGTCAGTAAAAAATGAATTGTGAGAAATGTATTATGTTCATGTTTGCAAGGTTCCTAAATTAATAGATATCAGAGATCGAGGGAAAATTATTAGTAGCAATGATTTCAATTATCATTATACAGTGTGTCCACCTTAAGGACTTACCACCCCTGTAAAATCGTTATTATCCGACCAATTTCAAAAAACCTCTTTTTGTTGGATAGATATTTGAAATGCCCATCCAACGCGAGAGTGATCTAATTCTTGGACTGTTATCGTGGCCAACTGCGACAAATTTCAATGACCCATATTCCAGAAAGTACTATTAGGGATTTTTTTCTACGAAACTTGATGATGGATTCTGAATCAGTACCACTTGAAATATACCTGTACCGATTTTCATCATCATAAAACACAGGGTGTCCGAAAAAACGAATCATCATTTTCTTCAAATAGGTGATCAGCAAATGTAGTTCTGTGGTTTTTCTAGAGAGAAATAATCACAAATTATCATTGAGGATTATTTCAAATATACCTGTACCAATTTTCGTCATTTGAATATACAATGTGTCTGCGAAAAAAATTAAAAAGGATAGGTAAGCAATATTTTTCATCCTGATAATTCTTCACTCAAAATAAAAAGATGAATCAGAATCACTTGGAACATACCTGTACTGATTTTTATTATCATTTAACACAGGGCCCGGAGTTCGAAAAATCAAATTAATATTTTTTTTGAGGTGATGAAAAAGTATTGCCTACTTTTTCTTTTTAATTGTTTTCTCATATACATCGTATTTTTGGATGATGAAAATTGGTACAGATGTCCAAAGTGATCCTCAATAATAATGTGTCATCAATTCTTCTCAAAAATACCACAATACTACATTTTCTGATCGCACCTATTGAAAAAATAACAATTCGTTTTTTCGGACACCCTGTGTTTTATGATGATAAAAATCAGTGAAGGTGTTTTTCAAGTGATCGTGATTCAGAATCTGTAGTGTATCTAATTATGTGCTACTAGTTTATTTCATGTGTAGTCGTGTATACTGCTTTTATCACTATATACTTTTTTTTGGGCATTTACTTATCGAAGGATTTTGTTCGATATGGACCGGCAACGGTAAAGGCAGTGAATAAATTCTTCACGAATGAAAACGTTGAACTTTATTTCAGTTCATATTAACTGAAAACATTACTGAATCCATCATTGTTTTTTGTGAAAAAAAATCCCTAATAGTACTTTCTCAAATATGGGTCAATAAAGTTGGTCGCAGTTGGCCACGATTACAGTTCATGAGTAAAATCACTCTCTTGTTGGTGGACATTTCAAATACCTATCCAACAAAAAAAAGTTTTTTGAAATCGGTCAGATAAAAACAATTTTACAGGGGTGGTAAGTCCTTACGGTGGACACACTGTATATACAATTTTAATAAATCCCGTCCACATATAACGTCGATAACGTCCAGATTTGGACGTACCTAGTACATAATCAAGGCTAGTACATCGGAATCGTACGTACCCAGTACGTCCAGAAATGGACGTTTTCAGTACGTTTTGAAAAGACCTGAATCGGACCTAAACGGGACATCCTCAGGACGTCGAGTGCTATATATGGGCAAGTCAGTTACTTAGTTAGAATCGCCTTTTTCTTGTTGATCTTCGGTAGAAACTCACCTGTGTAGGCACATGGTCCGTATCGAAAAACAGATGGAAAGTGACGAGCTGTCTGACCAGCGGCGTGCGGCAATTTCTCAAGTAGGCGATGCTCTGCAGCGTGCTGAAAAAGTCGTACCCGGGCGAGTACAAGGCGACGCTGATCGGTCCTTTCCATCTCTCCACCAATGGCAGGATGTTGTCCAGGAAGCGGTAGTCCCCTGGGGCAGTCAAGGTCACGCTTTCATTGCATCTGAAGCGTTTTTCGGCTGGCACGTAGTTGCGGAACACCACGAACCTATGAAGGCGTAAGAGTAGGGGTCGCTTGATGCAAACTAGGGTCCCTTGATGGAAATTGACGTTAAAGTCATCTTAACAGGGTACGGACAGATCCTCGTCTCCTCTCACTCTTAAACGTTTGTGAGACAGTTATACAGTCTGTCCAAGATAAGGTTGAACAGCATGGGGATCTCGGAAACGGTAGGAGATACGAAGTCGCTTAAATGGGGAAAAAGTTGCGCATTCGGAGGCTCATATCAAGGGCCTTCGAAAATTTTGAAAATTATTTTTAGTTTTTGAGTTATATCGAAAAAAGTGAATTTTTGGAATTTCTATTTTATTTTTTTTCTCCGTTATTATCAGAGATACAGAAAAACTGAAAATACTTTTTCATTGCAACTTTTGATGAGGTTTAACGTGATGATACCGATTTCGTTATGCGACGTTTCGTATTCGTGGAACCATCATCAACTTTTGTTTTTTAAATACGGTCCTGATAATTTTTTCACAGATTCTGAAAGGTTTTTTTATTCTGAATTCAACAATGTACTATACAAGGTGATTCGAATGTGTTTCGACCTATTTCTATCCATCATCAATGTTTTTTCGAACTTCCAAAAGAAAAAAAGCCATCAGTTCCACTTATTTCTTATCATTTAGTGTCAAACTTGATGGATTAGTTATTCAATACTGAAGAGTGAATAAAAAATATTTCACTACATCATTCGATCAATGCAGCGTTTAAAATTGTTGATGAATTCTTACACGAATTACTTTACATTCATAACAAATGTTCAAAATGATAACCATTATTTTCTGAACAAAGATATCCTCTTCTCACAGTTGCTTCTAAGACATTGCTAAGCATTTCTGGGGTTATTCTATTGAATGCTTCGAAGACACTGTCCCTCAGTTCTTCTTCATCATCAAAGTTATTTGCGTGTACAAAGTTCGATATATCCCCTAAGAAAAAATCCAGCTGTGTTAAATCAGGCGACCGCGCCGGCCAGGGGATAAAAACGCACGGACTTCTCTGGAATTATGTACCGGAGCGCCATCTTGTTGAAACCAACAGAGTTCTGAACTTCCGCAATCGGTAAATCATACAGAGCTTCCTCAAGATGATTCTCAAGCGAATTTCTATAACGTTCGGAAGTCTCTGTGTTTCATGGTAAATAGAAGGAACAATAATTCGTGTACCAAATATTGCAACCCACATATTAAAGCCGAAACGGTGTTGGTGTCTCGCCGTAATGTATAAATGTTCATTTTCTCGTGAACAATAATGTGTATTTTTTCTATCGAAGGTACCATGATTACTGATTAGTGACCATGCTTTCATCAGTTCAGATGATTGTTCGAAAGAAATCTGCAAAATTTTAAAACATTTCCTGGTATACCACTCACAGAATGTCTTGCGCCTTTCGTCATCGCCTGGTTTTAGCGCTTGACATATTCTGAATTTGTATGGATGGAATTTTTGTTTCCGCAAAATGAAATGGGTTGTTGATTGAAACCAGTTGATGAGGTATTAGTGTGTTGACTAATTTTCCTTCAAAATAAGTGAAACTGATGGCATTTTTCCTTTGGAGTTTCGGAAAAACATTGATGATAGCCACAAATAGGTCGAAACAAAAATGAACCACCTTGTATAATACATGGTTGAATTCAGAATAAGAAAACCTTTTAGAATCTGTGAAAAAATTATCAGGACCGTATTTAAAAAACAAAAGTTGATGATGGTTCCACGAATACGAAACGTCGCATGAAAAAATCGGTATCACCACGTTGACCGTCATCAATAGTTGCTATGAAAAAGTATTCTCAGTTTTGCTGTATCTCTAATAATAACGGAGAAAAAAAATAAAATAGAAATTCCAAAAATTCCCTTTTTTCGATATAACTCAAAAACTAAAAATAATTTTCAAAATTTTCGAAGGCTCTTGATATGAGCCTCCGAATGCGCAACTTTTTCCCCATTTGACCGATTTCGTATCTCTTACCGTTTTCGAGATCCCCATGCTGTTCAACCTTATCTTGGACAGACTGTATAGTTCCTTATTCAATTCTGGGGATAAACACTAGATTTTTGACATTCGTTGTTTTTTAGGTTATATTGAGGTCACTGGCGTATCATACGTGATTTCCATATGGAATTCCTGATTCAACTATACCAAGATATAGATGAACAATCCTCTAGTTTTATAGTTCACTACTCCAGCATAATCTTTGCGAAGTAGGGAACATATAAATTGTACTAAAAGCTCAATATATCCCACCAAAAGAGACTGTTCCCAGACTGTATACCAGCGGTTGACTGAATTGACTAAATGAATTCTGATTTCAAGCTGAGCAGAAGTTAATCTGTGAGCTGAATGAGCTGAGCTTGGGGGTATCTGAATTACTGTACCTCCGTCATGTGTGCTGAATATATTTTCGTAAATCCAATTCGGAGAAGAATTTATGGAGTGACTAATATCACACTATGTATAAAACTTCGTCTGAGACGAAAAGTTGACTGATAAAAAGTACTACGTGAAAAGTGCAGGAAAATAAAGAATAGAATATACTTATGATTTTTCCGTCTCCCTTAAATAAAAAGTCATCTTCGAATAATTTATTGAATTCTCAAATCTTGACGAAACAATCATTATCTCCTACCCCGAAAACCCCCAGATACCAATTTTGATAAAATCGGATCATAATTACAAAACTCGTTCGCCATATGATCTTCCTCAACAAGTTAATACCCTGTACATACCTATTATTAGAATTTTGAATGATTTTCTGTAGCGCCCATGGATGTGACACAGTGACGTGACAGCAATGTCAGGGATGCCAGTAGACAAAACCAAAGTCCCTAGATCATTAAAAAAGAATGCAGCTATGATCTGTCCGTACCCTGTTAAGATGACTTTAACGTCAATATCCATCAAGGGACCCTAATGCAAACTAACGTATTTGTCATCTAACAGGGTACGGACAGATCATAGCTCCTTTCTCTTTTAATCATCTAGTGATTTTGGTTTCGTGTATTGGCGTCCCTGACATGACATTGCTGTCACGTCACATTCATAGGCGTTAAAAGAGATCTTACAAAATTTTAATTTCATACTTGATCTTAATACGACATAGTGACCGAATGGGAAAAATTGGTGAATAGATCAGCAAAATATTCGAGGTAAAACTAATACGTAAAAAGTTTGATTGTGAACGCCGCTTAAAACGTGCGTTTATCACTCATGATGCAATAAGAGATGGCATCATTGCAAGTGCGCGACGTCGTTTGCTCTTGTCAGAAAACAAAATTAAAGATCGGGAACCACCAGATTGCCGTTTTAGCACGCGACAGGGTTGCCAGCTGTACTGAATTTTCAGGAGATCGCAATATCTTTTATATTATTCATTAATATTTGTCAGATCGTGATTAATAAAGACCTTTATCATTATTATTATTATTATTATTATTAGATACTGATTTTCAAATAGATCTACTGATCTATTGAAACATTCATATCATCTGCTGAAAAAAAAAATGATACTTATTATATAGATTATATCGATTTATATCTAGACTCATAATATCTTGGTTGATATCTAGGCACGCTCTGTAAATACATTTTCTGGCGCCACTAATCATAAATTCGAATGCGTCAAAGCGCTTGATATGTTGGTAAACAAGTTCTCACTTTTCTCGAATGAAAAAAGTAATTGTATGAAAAGTGACATTTTGTTTTTGTTTTTTTCTCAAAACAATACAAGATAGTTCTTATCAAGACAAGAATTCTTGTCTTGGCGACCCCTATATGTAAGAGTGCCGCAATTCTTTTATTTCTTCTCAAAACATTGAGAATTGTTTTCAAAATTTTGAGATTTTGAGTCCGAAATTTTAATATTTATTCTCGGATTTCTGTTCATTTTGTATAATTTTTGGATTATATTCTCGGAATTTCGAGTTTTTTCTCAAAATTTTGAGGTTTGGGAATGGTTCGAAAACTTGACGGTCTAGGTTAGTGTCCCTTGCAAGTCACTTGATGTAAATTGACGTATTTGTCATCTTAACAGGGTACGGACAGATCCTCGTCTCCTCTCACTCTAAAGTTTGTGAAACAGGTATATAGTTCCATCTTTATTCATTTCTGGGGATAACCACTAGATTTCTGGCATTTATTGTTTTTTAGGTTATACACTGAGAAAAACTGGTTAATTAAAACGTCTAGTTGGTATTTTTTTAGTACCTATAATTAAAAATATTTGAAATTTTATTAACAATGACAAGGTATCCTTATTTCCTACAAATGACTTTTCTATTTTTTGCCAATTATTTGTCATCAATAAAAATACTATTTGTGACAGAATTATCACAGTGTTGTCTATTCAGTCAATTAAAATTTCATATTGGGGTTAAAAAACCTCATTCTGGGGTTACTAACAACAGCTAACTATTTGCCACAACTGATGACACATTTATCGTAAAAGGTTTATTATTATTCATAGCAGAAATTGTTTAGCCATAACTAATAATTTTAGTTGTACTGCGTCGTTCGGGACCGCCTCGCGTCTCTTCGGGACCCACCGGCAAAAATTGCGTCTTGCATCTGTTTGTCTTTCTGTTTCATCATTTGAACTCGTATCTTAATAGTGGATAGATCGCACGGTCGTCGAGCTTAGACAAAATAAATAAAATAATTGTCTAGTGTAGCCGGGAGCGTCGTGTTCTTGCTGGTTCACTGCTCTGTGTGTTTTCAAATCACTGTTTTGTGTTTTTTTGCACTTCGCGCTGAGCCATTTGGCATTTGATTGGCAAAATAATAATTCGCAGTTTACCATCGTTATCTGTGCGTCACTAGTTATCAGGTTTAGGTACCTATTCACAATTCAGTTCAGTTTACGACGGGCGACGTTGAGAAACGTCCAACCGACGTCACGTGTACACGGTGTATATTTATAATTCCCTCTCTTTTTGCTGAGCTGTGGCCTGTGGCACTTACGGTGTGTGGTGTATTCCTGTTCACGATTCCATTGGAAATTGGAAGGAAAATGGCATACAAACTGTTATTATTAGAATGGGGCTTTGATTTTAATTGATATAAAACTATTAAGTTGCCAGAATAACTAAATTATATTTCAAACGTTACTAAATCACTTTCAATAGTAACTAGATTCCATTTCAGTCACAATTAAATATTTAATTTGCAACAACACACTCACTATTAACGTCAGAAGAAATGAGTAATTGCCCCAACTGGGATAATTTGTTGTGATAACAAACATATATTGAAACAGTACTAACAATCTAATTGTCATAACTATTTATCTTGATTGTGGCAAATAAAACTTGGTATTATTCCTTAAAAAGTCTTATTATTTACCACAACAACGTCGTAGATGACTCAACTAAACTTTTCATTAGAGGCAAATAGGCGTTTCCAGAAAAACAGAATTAGTTATGGCAACAACTAATGCTTGCTGTCGCCTATCGTACTAAAAAAAATTCCTGTAGTTACTAATTTTTTAGTAACGGCTACAAATTTTTTCCCTCAGTGTATTGAGGACATTGGCGTATCATACGTAATTTCCACAAGTAATTTCTCATTCAACTCTACATATTATATCCAAATGATGATGATAATTTTCGAGTTTTTTATTTTTCAACTCCAGCATAATCTTTGTGAGGCAGTGAGCAAATTTTTCTGAAAGTTCAATACCGTTTACCAAATGGGACTGTTCTTACTCAGTACCTATCAATAAATGAATTTTGATTTCAGACAAAGCCTTATGGCTGAGAAATGGTGAAAAATTGTAATGAGCGTGTACACCTTAGTAGAACTTTTAACTCAAACCATGTTTAGAATGATCCTTTTATACCTAAATAATGATTGACGATATAATTCGATCGAAACATTAACTGGAATGTTTTATTTTTGGACATAAATAATAGTACCATCTGAAAACGGAAAATACCAAAAGCGCGACGGAGACTGAGGCAACTGATAGATTAATTCTTTGAACTGTGATCTCGCGCTAATTCACTCTGTCAGAAATCATGTATCATTCATCTCTGTCTGGAATAGTCTTGTTTCAGTATTAGGGTTTTGACGTCACATCATCGCCTCGTTTTCAGAGGTCCGAAAAATCGGGGATTTCAATAATTTTTTATAAAACGTAGGAAGCTCACAGCAAGAAACGGTTTGCGGTGGTGATCTAGTTTGGGTGAGTTCTATCGAATTATGAAATAAAATTTTTTTGTGATATAAGCCCATTGTATGTAGGTATTCAAACTAATGTGCTCATAATTATGTCATGTGTGCTGTATATATTCATGTTGGGAATCATTTTTGCAGTTTTTCATTTTTTTTAATACACGACAAATACGTCAGTTTACATCAAGGGATCCTAGTACAAACGAACCCCTACAACTTTAATATATTATGAAGTTTTTTTCGACTTCGTATAGTTGAAGCTATAGGTATGGGTGAAAATATACGAGATCGTCTAGAGAATATTTAGAAATAATCTCAAAATTCTTATAAAAATCTCAAAATTCCTAATAGAAGAATCTCAAAATTTTCAGAAAAATCTCTATTCGTTAAAATAAAAAGAATTGGGGCGTTAAAACACCGTCGTACGAACCTGCCGCGAAACTCCACGCTTTTCTCTAGATCGTTGTCCTTGCAGGGGAAGGGACCCATAGGGGTACCTTGCGGGACACCGCATTTGGAGCCATCGCCAGAGGAGGACAGCAGATAGACGAGGAACACTAGACTTAAACAAAGGATTATCGGTAAAGGTGTGCAAGTGATTCTGGGATGTCTCATTTTCAGATAAGTAAAAACCGGAATCAGTGGTATATAGAGAGGTATATATTGATACCTTCGGAGACAGATAACGTTGTGACACCGACACTTTTAATCATGCATACATACGTGCTATCTGAATTATATATTTTGTTATTAGATAAGGGTATTATGGTGATTTGTTGATATATTGCTATATACAGTGTGTCCCACTTACCATGGTCACCATGGGTATCTTTTAATGTGGAGTTTGTCAAGGCCAACTATAATGTGAAAAATTATTTTGATAAAATCTATTCGTTTTTGTTTTATACGCAAAAAACAGATTTTGATCATTTTCATGTCTCCTCCGTAACTTCTTTATTTATGAAAATATTCAAATAGGAATTTCACATTCTCATGGCAGTTTTTCAAAGTGATTTCAAAAAAAATATGGAATTTATACCAACTCTTCTAGAATTTGTGATATCAGCACCAACTTTAATTTCTCAAATGTAGGTCATAGCTCACTATGACTTAGTTACAAATAACTTTTTTTTCTCTTACAGATGATATGTCGCAGTAATAGTTTTGTGTTGATAACAACGGAGTTATCATCATTTATACAAAAACAAAAAATGATTTGGAAGCCGCCATCTTGAATTTATAAATTTCAACAAGAAAATAATGATCTCCGACCTCAAAAACCACCACTTACCAATTTTGAATGGAATCGGACCAAATCTTGTCCGCCATCTTGGAGCAGCCATTTTTTTTCAACGAAAATTCCATAATGTATTGTCACCGAAATTATGAACACCTGCCAAATTTCAAGTTAATCGGACGACCAGAAGTGGGAAAAAATTCACTTGAAATTTAAAAAAATGGCTGCTCCAAGATGGCGGACAAGATTTGGTCCGATTCCATTCAAAATTGGTAAGTGGGGTTTTTGAGGTCGGAGATCATGATTTGTTTGTTAAAATTTATAAATTCAAGATGGCGGCTTCCAAATGACTTTTTGTTTTTGTATAAATGGCGATAACTCCGTTGTTATCAACACAAGACTATTACTTCGACATATCATCTGTAAGAGAAGACAAGATCAAGACAAGAAGTAATTTTAGATTTCAAGACAAGACAAGAAATTTTATGTCAATACCAACAAGAAATCTTGGTGCGTTTATCACTCATGATGAAATAAGAGATAGTATCAATATAATGTTCTTTCATTTTTTTTATGTTCTGGGTTCCCACGAAAAGGGATATCCTGTAATGTTCAAAGAATATCGTGAGTACCAAGGAAAATAAGGTAGGAGTTGGCGTTCTTCTCAAATTTTGAACACTTACTCTAACTGATTCAATATTTCATGTTTCTAGTCAAATATCTCTTAATTTTCTACTTATGATTCTTTGTTCCATCAATAACTTTAGCACAAGTATAATTTTATTCTTTTGAACCTGAATAAATAGGTAATTGAACTGAATAAAATTCATTTTATATCAGCATCAATACTACTCCATTATTTTCAAATCGAAATATTCCGAAAACGGAACATAGTATCGAGTTTCACCACGAGTACCTTTTTGGTGTAAAATTGAATGATGTTCAAGTTCATATCATATTTGGATTGAAAAATCTAACCTCAAAAAAGTTATGTTCAAAACTACTCGGTACGAACCGTGTAACTAGCGCCCTCTATGAGAGTCAGATATAAAAACGAATACATGCGATGTGTTAGATTTCAAGAAACATCCATACAAAATTTCATCACAATGTTGCCAGTAGTTTCAACATAATCGTAGAAAATGTGTAAAAAAATATTGTTTCAACATCTTGTATCTTGAAAACGGATGGTGTCACGACATTTTTTTACTGAGCAAACCCAACTTATTTTGCAATGTTCTACCTACCCTAGAAAGGGGGTCAGGTTTTCCTGAAACACCCTGTATATTGAATTTATTTTCACCCCCTGTAGAACTATTTTTGCGTATCAAATTGAGTCAGATAGAATTTTATTGTTCAGGAATCGGTTAGAAGAGTGACGTAACGAATTAGTAATCAGGATGATGAATCAGTAAGCCACCTGTCATTCGTCAGTCGTATTCAAGATTTCATCGTGTACGGTCGATTCAATTGGTTTAAAAAAAAATCTGTATTATTTTACAAGTGCCGAATCGAAATGGTCCATATTGCATTATTTGTGTGTGTGAGAAAGGTGTGTCTGTGTTAAAGTGTATGTTTTTTTGTGACTGAAATGGCGATGCAAGTTGATCGATTTCAAAATGGTGAGTGTTTTTTTATTTGAATATGGAGATATTTATCACGTGATGGGTATATTGCAATGGTTCAATTAAATTACGTGCTTTCGTAAAGTAGGTACTGGATACTTCATTTTTATGCCACAAGTATAAGAAAAAATCGTATATACAAGGTGATCCACGTTTAAGTTATGACGTCCACGACATATTCGTTTCAGATGTAACACCCTATATGTATATTTTTCAATTCTCGAAATCTTCATGAACAGTTGAATTGAAAAATATATTACACCAAGGGTTTATATACAGTGCCTCTGTTAAATTAATGGCTCTCGTAAAGCGCATATACAGAGTTGTTCAAGATTCAGAATTCTGATCACTCTGTTTCTGTTCCGATTGAATATCAGTAGTAAATAGTAAATCGAAAGTTGAGATAGGGACATGTGAGCCGTTCTGGCCGATAATAAATAGTTTTCACACAAACAAATCCTATAATTGAAAAATCTCGATTTAGAACACCCTATATCTCTGTAATCATTTCCGATATACCCCAAGTGTGATGTATCAATGAAATAAGCTTTTCAAGGAGAATCTAAAAATTCAATGAAACACAGAGAATTCTATTTGAAATAACAAAGTTGTTGCTACTTTTTGATAGAAGCGGCAATACTGCATTACTGAAAATATTTTAAATGAAGAAAGCGTATTCTATAATATGAGCATACATATTTTCATGAATTTCTCCCGACTAATCCTCGATATAGAGATAGTGTAAGCTCGTTGTGACATACCCTGTATATCTCGCCAAAATGAGTTGTTTGGCCTGATGCTTCATTTCCCTCCTAAAGTTTTTTGGTTCACTTCAAAATGATAGTTAATAGGTTGGAAATGTGAAAATATGTTTCTGATTGGTCTTTCTGATGAAATAATGCAACTGTAGGGTATTTAATGCTGGACTACGGTTTTTTGCGTTTTTTTTCTGAGAAAATGTAAATAAAATGTTTCATAGTTGATGGAGTCTTCTTCAAACCATTGAATACCTGTACCTTCGTCATCTTGAATATTTTATTTAAGCAATTTTTTGCCAAACAACTTATTTTGGTGAGATATACAGGGTCGTGGCATTGAAATAAGTTCAAACATTTCAAACACAGGAGAAAGCTCGACGTGAACAAATATCGAATGGCACTAAAATTTAGGGATCAAAATAAAATTTGAGGTTATACCCCTTTTTCCACCCAAAGTTCTAAACTGTAGCAAATCTGACGTCACCTCTGTTCAAATTTCCAAGCGGTAGGCAGAATCACACGGAGTTCAATCATTTAAATTGTTTTCAAGTGGCGGACTTCATTTTTTTTTTGTATTTTGTTCAATTTTTAGGATGGAGTTTCTCGTTAATTTGAAAAATCAGAAAAAATCTGATATCATCGGAATATACCGGGTGTCCCAGTATACCTGTTCCAATAGATTATCTCAAAAGATGAAAATTCGAGAATTACATGATCTACTACAATTCTAATGATTTGAAATCATTATTGAAGTCAAAATCAAGATTACAAAAATATCGTAGCCTAGTACAATTCGTTCAATTTGAAATTTAAATTGTCATTTTCTCCATCAAATCCAATTTAAAATACGAAGTGTGATATACATCGTTGGAACGGTAATTTTGAGTAGGAATCAAAAATTGCAAAAAATATACAGGGTGCTATTTGAAATAAAAAAGTTAGTCACTTCCGGTTGACCGGACAATTTTTGTTTTTCCCAGTTGAGGCTTCCTTGAACGAATTGGAGATCATGAAATTTCCGAATTTTCATTTTTCGAAATGGTGAACCTAAACTTTAATTTTATTGATTTTTGGTTGACCTAGAGTGATCTTCCTGTAGAAGTTACAACGAAGAAACTTAGTCTTCCAGTATTCGATGTGTTCCTCCATTCAATGACTACTTCAGCAATTTCTCAGATTTTGATACGGGGTGAATCGAAAAATCAAAAATATCGAAAGTTGCCATCGAATAACTAACACCCTATATGATATTTTGCGTTCTAATTTCGTATTTGAGCTATGCCTGAATCGAATGGTCTACTCACTGTTTCGACAAAAAATTGCCTAATAGTCGTTTTTGAAATTTTGACACATTCAAAAATCAAAAGTAGGCCTTGAAAATCTGAATATTTCAGATTTGTCCACACTTTCGAATAGATCTCGTTGGGTACTATATTGAGAAATTTTTGTTTTTGAAAATCGGTCGACGGGTTCTAAATTAGGAGGGTGTTAATTGCGGGTTGAAATCGCACACACTGTATATATCAATTTCTTTATGTTCATAATTTATCTGAGAATATTCCTTTTCAATTATAAAAATATACAGGGTGTTTCATTGGGAAAGGTAAATAATTCAACTGTGGATAGGGGTCACTGAGGTGATTTCAAAAAACCCATGGTTGATGGGTCTTTGACTTCTTATAACCGAGATACAGGATGTTTCATCAATTTTGTCCATATCTTCATTGTCTCATAACTTTCCAACCAACCTGTATATATTTTTAAAAATTGGTAAACTTGCTCAATCTACCCTGTGGAATTGATTGAGGCAACAACAAGAGATAAAATCCAGGTCCGGCTCCACTTAAAATTCACAAATTCTTTCTGCCAGAAAACAACACCCTATACATTCGAATTTCTAATTTTTTTTGCCATATCTGGAAAGAACATCAAAATTTATATTCAACGATGTGCTTTTTATTCGTGCACAGACGATTTTAACTATTCATATTATGT